AGTTATGACAGCAAACATCATCTCCAGGCATAGTTCATGTCCCCTAGGGGCAAAATTGCCCCTGGCTGAGAACCTTGGTTTTTTTTTTTTTTTTTTTTTTTTTTGAGAACCTTGGTTTGTATTATTCTGTGGGACTTGGGTTTGGATTTGGATAAATTAGATTTGTATTTGAGGGACCTCTTAAGTGTTCCCAACACCTCTGTGTGACACGGGCCCTGGAAGGTTAGTGTGTGGAGAGGTGGGGGAGAAAAAGAGGGGGCAGGTGACAGCTTGGTGCTTGGCCGCTCTTGAAAAATCAACATAAGCCCATCTCTAACTGCTATGCCCCAGCCTGCTAAGGAGAATACTAATCTTGGTTTTTCTTTCTTGGTAGCCCAGAAGCAGTCACTTAGTGAGTAAGAGCCCTTTACCAAGACCCTCTCCCCTGGGCCTTTGGGGAACAAGTCCTATTGCTCCTTGCCTTCCAAAATGTGTTTTAAAGATATAGAAACATGATCACAAGCACATCTAACCAAGAAGCTAGTTGTTTAATTTTAGGGAAGGTCCATGATTACCAAGGAAACTCACCCACAGAATCAGGGAACTAGATGACTTTCAGTTCTCTTTGATGGGGGCACAACATTACATATTTTGAAATTAACTCATTACATTTATAACAGCTTCACTTCCCCTTATCTATATTTCTTGTTCACACGAATTTGATTGCATAAGCTGTACTACAGTAAAATCACTGAAGGACCGTTTCTACTGGCCCGTAACCTGCATAGCCAGGAAAGCATCTGGGGACAAGAAGGGGTAATGATCAAACTTCCTGATGCTTCCTTTCAGGTGGCATCTTCACTGTGTGGTTCACCCACGTATTCCATCCTTTGTTGGGGGGCACTTTCCCGGGCATTGTCAGCTATTCAGCAGCATTTCTGGGCTCGCCCAAGTAGATGTCACTGAATGCTCACAGTGGGGACACCAAAATGTCTCCAGACATTGCTGGGGCTTGTCAGCTCCTCTTTGCTTGCACTGGTTGAGGGTGTGTGCGTGTGTGTGCGTGTGTGTGTACCTTCCCTGGAGAGGAGGTGAGTGCTGACACATTAATATAAATTTAGCCATATGTCCCAGAAAAGAATGCTGGTGACAGTTCCCTAGTACAGAGCCAGGTGTAATGACTTATGCCTATAATCCCAGCACTCTGGGAAGCTGAGGCAGAATGACTGCTGCAAGCTACATAGTGAATTCAAGGCCAGGCTGGAATATGTAGTGAGACCTTGCTTCAAAACACACACACACACACACACACACACACACACACACACACACACGACCAACGCAATAACTTTGGGCTGGAGCCCAAGCTTCCCATGGCCCTATGTCTACCTCAGCCCACCTAGTGGCCAACTGTGATGTCTACCTTCTGGGTTCACGCATTTGTTAAAATGTCAGTAAATACCCAAGAGCCTCATGGACGCCCTGCCTGGAATAAGCCCTACAGCTAAAGGGCTGGGAGCAGGCCCAGCTGGTGAGAACTTCTCTCATGCACATCTGACAGGGCCCACACCATATCACTTTTGGGTATTGTGTGTGTGTGACTCTGCTTACCCCATTCACACTGTGCTGAAATCACTCCTTGACTTCTTTACCTGCCCGCTGGAGAGTAGTCAAGTGCAGGAGCGCAGGACATGGTCCGTTTTGTTCACTGCACTTTGATCTAGCCCGGTGTGTGTGGTGAACAGTTGGTGCTCAATAAATGTGTTGTTGCCTGAGGCTTAATTTCCTAAACTTAATATTTCTTAAAAATGTTGAAGATCAATGAAGAATATTTATGTGTTGACTATAAACTTAATTTTGGTCCCTGGGCAATTTAAATGACAATATCAAATTAGCATCAGTGATTATTTTGAATGCCAAATTAACCTGCAAACAGAAATACACCTGCACAAAAGTACAAATGTACTATTTTCAGCAGAGTGGGGAGTTTTAGTGGTTGATAAAACCCCAAACAAAAGAACTGTAAAATACAGCAACAAGATAGCTTCAATTAGAAAAGAATATTTTGAATTAATGTCCTTAAAAGACTTAGAAAAAAGCTTTTTACTTTGCAATAACATCAAACTTTGAGGAAGGCAGTAAGAATAGAGCAAAGAACTGATACATATCCTTAGCAAGATCCATGTGTTGTTAATTTTGCTGTGTGCGTGTGTGTTTTAATAAATCACCTTCCCCCAACCCTAAGTACTTAAGTGGTGTATGTTTATGTGTGTGTGTTTCAGCACTGGGGATTGAATCCAGGGCCTCTGCACTGAGCTACATCCCCACCCACTCCCCTTTTAATATTATGAGACAGGGTCTCGCTAAGTTACTAAGTTGCCCAGACTGGGCTTCAATTTGTGATACTCCCGCTGCAGGCTCCCAAAGTGCTGCGATTATAGATGTGCATCACACTCAACTCGGGTGTATGCATTAGGAACAGGAAATTCTGTAAGCAGAGCACAGTGATTGAAATGAAGAGTATTTAATGTACGTTTCAGATCCCAATGTCCTTTATTGCACATTTTTCCTCCCAGGCTCAGATCCCATCCAGGTTCTTACCCACCGCATTTAGTTATCACCAGAGGGTTCACAGCTTTTCTTTTATCTTTTGTGGCATGGGCATTTTGAAGAGTGAATGCCAGCTGTTTTGAAGAATATCCCTTGACTTGGGCCTGTCTGATGTTTCTCATGGTTAGATCCGGGTGATGTTTCTTGGAAGGGATCGTGCAGAAATGACATTATATCCCAAAAGTATCTTTACTCTTTTCAAGCGTTGTCACTACCAAAGGTGGTCCAGAAATGGCATGTTTTTGCCTTCACCACCTCCTACCTGAAATCTCAGTCCCCAGATTTTAGTCTTTAATTCCCTTTGTCACTCAGACAACCCAGGAGGGCAGCCATGCTCCTGGCTCTGGCCTGGGAGCCACAGCCGGGGTTGGTGGGCTTCTGTCACCCAGTGGACCCACCGGGGCAGGAGAGCTCTGCCAAGAGACATCTCATGCAGCCGTTGACTGGAGGCTCAGTTCCTTGCTGGGTGGGCCTCTCTGTAGGGCTGCTTCCCATACAGCAGCCAGGGCAAGCAAGGGAGAACACAACAGAGAGTGACCAAGGTGGAAGCAGCCATGTCTTTGATGCAGTCACTTCTGATAGAGTCTGTCAGCCAAGCTGGTGACCAGCCCTGGTTCCCTGTGAGAGGTGACTACATAGGGTATGAAGATCAGGAGCTTGGGGTCACAGGGGCCTTGTCAGACGCTGGTCACTATGATCGCAACCCATAGAAGGAACAAGTGCATAGGTGTCTACAGGGTGCCCCCAGTGCTCCAGGCCTGGAGGTGGATGTGATTCCCCCCATTTTGTAGGTTAGGAAACTGGCTCTGAGAGTTTACACCACTTGTCTGAGGTTACATAGCAGTTGACACAATGGGACTTTGAAAGGCAAGAGTCTGCCTCCTTGGCTACCTAAAAATCAAAACAAAAACCAAAAATTAATGACACAGAGTTCCAAACATATACCATATAGAAGAATATGATAATCCCACAACCCTCAGCAATGATCAACTCTGGGCCAATCTTCTTTCATTTACGCCTCACCTCCTCCCCCTGCCCCTGGTTATTTTAAAGCAAACCCCACATATGTCACATCCCTGTGGAGATAACATATCGCTCAGATATGTTATCTCTAAAGGACAAGAACCATTTAAAAAAACAGAACTACATAGAATTTTCACAACTTCCAATTTTTAAAAAATTTAAAATAATTCCCCCCCCAAAAAATTAAAATAATTCCCCCAAATCATGAAATATGTAGTCAGTGTCCAAATGTCCTTTTCTTTACTTGTTTTTTTATCAACTTGTTTGAACTGTAATTGAAAGAACATTCACACATTCATTTTCTATGTAAGATTTCTTCTATTCTGTAGCCACCCCATTCCCCCCGCTTGCTCACTCAGCTCTATCTCTAGCTCATCTCTCTCTTTTACAATTGAGTTGGCTTGCTGTAGACCTTGTCATGGTCTGGAATTGCTGAATGCATCCTGTTTGTGTCCTTTAGTTTGTTCCTTTGTCCCCTGCTGTGGTTGGGATGTGGCATGTCCCCAAGGGGCTCCTGTGTTGGAATCTTGGTCCTCAGGGTGCAGTGTTAAGCAGTGGTAGGCTCTCTAAGAGCTAGGCCTCATGGAGGTAGTTAGGCTGTTGGAGGCACTACACTTGGAAGGGATAATGTAGTGTTCATTGGATCCCAGGCTCTTCCCGCAAGAGTGAGTTGTTATAGCAGAGCAAGACTGGCCCCTTCCTCCCTCTGGCTTCTTATCTTGACATGTGACCTCTCCCTTTCATATGTGTTCCTGGCATGATGCCATTTGTCATGTTGTGATGCAGGTAAAAGGGCCTCACCAGAAAGGTGCTAGCACCCAAACTGTAATCTAAATAATCCCCTATTCTTTATGAAGTACCCAGCCTCAGGCATTTTGTTATAGCAAAAGAAAGTGAACTAATACATCTCCCATATTTATTGTAATGAGTAGCTAGAGGTAGAGACTTGTTTTTTTTTGTTGTTTTTTTTCCGGTACCAGGAATCGAACTCATGACCTCGTGCTTGCCAAGCTGGCGCTGTGCCACTGAGCTAAATCCCCAGCCCCTAGAGGCAGAGACTTGATGTGATCTGGGTGTGATGTTTTCACCCAGTGGCTTCAAAATAGGGTGTTCATTCATCTGGAGGACCCTAACAACTGGCTGGCTGGCCATTGATGCTCCATACCTCCACATTTAAATTAACTAGGGATTGTGGCCTGGTGGTGTTTTAATTTTTTTTAACTGCTTTGATACTGAAGATTAAACCCAGGACTTTGCATACTAGGTGCTAGGCAAGCACTACTACTGAGCTACATTCCATGCCCTTTAAAACATTCTTTTTTAAAAAAAACATAATCTTGCTAAGTTGCCCAGCCTGGAGTTGAACTTGTGATCTTCCTGTCTCAGCCTCCTAAGCAGCTAGGACTACAGACATGCATCACCACACCTAGCAGTATGGCATTGCAATTGTATCATTGCATTTTTATTTGTGAGCTGAAATAATCTAGAAAGAGAAACTGCCCTTATCATTTATTCTTTATTAGATAAAATTTATAGAGAAAAGACATCTATATGCTGGATTCTCACACTTCGTTTCTAAATTTTCAAGTTAATGAATCACTTCCTTGCACCTCCAGTAGATGATCAATGACAGTTTTTTAAGTATCATATGTGCTTGTAGATGAGTTCTGCTTTGCAGATTGTCTCAGTTTTGATCAGTGGGAGCCTCTTCCTGTTGGCTTCTGAGTGTTTGTAACCTGATCTTGCAGTCTGTGACAGATTCCTTGCTTTCAGGATGTTCCAAAGGTTAGAGTCTGTACTCTAATATTTCTCTAAGAAGCCCTGGCTGCAATAGAGAAGAGTTGAGAGCCGCACTGTGTTCCCCTGGGGTGTTAGCTCTCAGGCCCCATGGTTACCCTGATGATCTCCTGGTTCCACGGGCAGCCATGATGCTTGGTGCTGATCCTTGGTCGTTGCGATGATTGTGCTACTCAGAACAGCTGCATTGCGCAAGCTCCTCATCACACCATGGTGGATGGTCCTCAGGAGACACACGGGCCAGAAGAGTGGAGCATGGCGGGGTTCACACCTACACGCCAGCAAGTGTTCTCACACAGCACACCACACGCATGCATCACCTTTGCTGTGACCTCACCTTTCTGGGCATCAGTGTCCTCATCTATAAAACAGCTCACAATATCCATCCTACTTCACCTTCTTCTTTGGGCTCATTTGTTTAAGGCAGGTGTTAAGGGTTGAATTATGTCTTCCTGAAAAGAGATGTTGAGGTCCCAATCTCCTCAAAATGTCACCATCTTTGGTGCAGGGTCTTTGCAGATGTAATTTGTTGGGATGAGGTCATGCTAGAGTAGGGTGTGTTCTTATCCAGTATGCTAGGGTCCTTAGAAGGTAGCCACGTGATGACAGAGACAGTGGAAAGGCCGTGTGAGCACATAAGCAGACACTGGAACGGTGTGCCTTAAGCCAAGCAATACCAAGGATGGCCACCTGCCACCAGCAGCTGGGAGAGAGGCAGAGGTGGATTCTCCTTCACACTCCAGGAGGAACCAGCACTGCTGGCACCTTGATTTTGGACATGACCTCCAGAACCGTGACAGTGGGTTTCCATTGTGCTAGGTCACGTAGTTTGTGGCACTTCGTTACAGCAGCTGCAGGTGAGCATCTGCACTCGGGCCAGCCGGGGCCGAGCATCGGGGCTGCTGACTCATCCCCGCGGCTCCCACCCCCATCCTGATGCTGTGCATACCCACCTTGAAAGTTGAGATGTCTCTTTAAAAAGAAATAAAGAACAGAAACAAGAGGGAAAAACTGTGGTGGCCAGAGGGAAGTCTGCTCTTCATTCGCTTCCACACACAAACCTCTGCTGTGCTGACCTTTGCGTGGAAACTATGAGCTTTATGCAATCAGCATCTTCTTGAACATCTGGCAGTTCCAGAAGCCACCCATCGTGCTCCACAGACATAGGCAGGACATGCCGTCATGCAAGGCCAGAAGCTGCACTCAGAAGGACAGCGGAGCCCACATGGCATCTGAATCCTTCCAGAAGGAGAATCAAATCCAGCCGGGGGCCCATCCTCTGTGGTGCTGCAGACCCTTGGTTCAGAAGGTTTCACAGGTACCTCTGCTGTTTGAGGATTGGCTTCCTTCAGTCCTCACCCGCTTTGTTACTGGCGCTGGCTGACCTTGCAAATGGGTGGAAGCTGGATTGACCCATGAATATGAACCTTCTGGAGCTTGTTAATATGCAGGCCCAGGCCCAGGGCTCCAGAGTGGAGCTGCAGATCCTGTGTTTCCAGCAAGTTTCTGGCGTCATGGGTGAGCTAGTGGGTGAAGGGCCTGAGGTCAGCCAATCTGTGTACTTCTCAGAGAACCGTCCTACTAGCTGTTCCTCTCAACACCTCGGGTTCCCCTTCTTCTGGAATCTTCATGGTTGCATGCCACTTTTAGCAAACATCTGAGTGTAAGTGGGTGTCTGGGCTGAAGAAATAAATAGCAACACCTGCTTCATTTTTAACGAGGGGAAAAACATCAGTCTAACAAAGGATTCCAAAAACAGCATCGCTGGTCACGTTGCCCCTAGTTCTGTTCTCAGAAATCTTCACTGTGAATGAATGAGTCACAAAATAAGTAGAGTGACATTAGCCACAGTCACTTGAAGAGTCCCTCTGGTTGGGCATCATGGGTGTTTTATCTCCCAGGAGACTCAGGCATCTGAAGTAAATGTTACTCTTCCACTTTGCAGATGGGTAATCTGAGGCTTAAAGCAGCTTACACTGTACCTTGTCTGGGGCTGTAAACCACAAGGATGGTGCATGATGGTGGGTGTGAACTCTCTGGCTTCCACTGTACTGCACTGTACAGGTGGGGGAGGATGGGCACTGTACCCCAGACAGGGCCTTTTTCTTTTCTTTTTGCAGAGGAATCAGTAAGCCCAGAAGAGAAGACCCGTGTTCTGGAATTTTCCTCCAGCATCCAGCTATGATGACCCATTACTCAACTGGGGAGTTTTAGGTCTAATTTTTTTTAACCACAGGTGGTCCCCCAAGACACCAGAATACCAACCAGCCTGTGGGCTTGGTTTACCCTGAAAGGCCTCTTGCCTTGCTGCAAAATGGAGGCTGTTTCTTTTCTTACCTTTTAATTCAAGTTTACATAAAAGTACAGAGAGCAATGAACCTGATGTTCCCGTTGCCAGCTTCTGTCATTATCAGTGGCTGGCCGCCTGGTCCACTCTCACCCCACCCACTCCCCACGCCCCATTATTTATTTATGTTGTTTCTCTTTGTAGTATGAGGCATTAAACCTAGGACCTTCGCACTGAGGTAGAGTCCCAAGCCTTTTAAAATTTTGAGACAGGGTCTCACTGGGTCACTAAATTTCCCAAACTAAGCTTGAACTTTGACCCGTCTGTCTCAGCCTCCCAGGGTGCTGAGATGACAGAAATGCACCACTGCACCGGCTTCCTCAATTATTTTGAAACAGATTCTAGCATCTCGAGCACCAAGAAGAAACAAGAATGTCTCCCTCAGACTTGCAGCACACTGAATACAGAATGCATGCACAGGCGTCTCAGAGATGACAGGTACTTAGTATATGTGCTGCCGAAACCACGCGATTGCTGCTGAACATAAGATGAACCAACCTTCTCCCACATCAAACTTGCCGTAGCTGCTGATGGGTGGGGCTGTATATGCCTTGCTGTGAATATGCACGTTGCTTTTGCTGTGCAGATGTAAGTTTTCAGCACACTTGAGCAAATGCTGACATTTTCCACGCCCCAATACACTCTTATGTCCTCTGTCTAGAGAGACCTTCCTCTGTCCATCCACCTTATTATCACCTTTGCCTTTATTTTTGTAGCAGTTTTTAAAAAAAATATGGAATGCTTCTTGAATTTGCGTGTCATCCTTGCGCAGGGGCCATGCTAATCTCTGTATCGTTCCAATTTTAGTATATGTGCTGCCAAAGCGAGCACCTGTAGCAGTTTTAGGTTTATAGAAAAACGGAGCAGAAATAAAGATCCTCTAAGCTCTTCCCCACCCCACAGTTTCCCCTACTAGTAAAGCTTTGCACTGTTCATTACAGTTGACGACCAATGTGCTTTTAGTAACTGCAGTCCCAGGTTCATTTACAGGTCCCTCTTCCTGTTCTACATGTCTTTTGTGCATAGTGTACAGAGGCTGCAGCCATCCTGTATTGTCACAGAGTAGTGTCACTGCCCTGCAGATCTGTGTTCTGCCTGTTTTTCCCCCTCTCCACCCCTCAGATGTCCTGAGGACAACTGCTCTTTTACTATCACCACAGCCTCATCTTTCCCGAAACACTGTGGAGCTGGAATTACTCCAGTGCATCCTTTGACCGCCTTCTTCCACTTCACAGTGCGTGTTTCAGGTTCCTCTGTGTCTTTTTGTGTCACCATAGCTCATTTCTTTGTGGCATTTTCCAATATGCCATTGTCTGGATGTACCATGGTCTGTCCATACTCCTCATGAACATCTTACTTCTCAGTTTTGGCAATTATGAGTCAAGCTGCTAGAAACATTTACATGTTCATTTTTATGCAGCCACTCATTTGAGAAAATGCTGAGAGTTATGGTGGCTGGCTTGTATCACATCCAGCAATTTTTGAGTGACTTACAAAGACCTGTCTTTGATAAGTAGATTCAAACAGGAACTTAGGGTTGAGATGTAGCACATATGAAGCACACCGGTTGTAGTAGACACTCACCCCAGATGTAACCTTGTCCTAGGTTCTGACACAATCCATCGGTTCTGCCAGTCAGGCACGTCCCACCCTACAGCTTTCGAAAGTGGGTTCTTGTGATGTTGGGGTTGGCGGGGACAGGTAGTGGTAGTGACATTTTGCTTCATTTTGGTTTGTTTGGAGTGAAGCCTAATTCATCACATAATTGTACCTGTACTTTCTGGGGAAATATAAGCTTTGCAGACCAGTGACTGCGTAGGGAGGGATGCTCGTTGTTTTTTATTTGTTTGGTTTTAGTATTGGGGATTGAGCCCAAAACTTTTGCACCAAGCCACATTCCCAGGCCTTTTTAAAGTTTTTCATTTGAGATGGGTCTCACTAAGATGCCCAGGCTGGGCTTGAACTTTTGTTCCTCCTGCTTCAGCCACCGACAGTCCTAGGATTACAGGTGTGCTCCACCATATCTGGCTCGCTGTGCTCTAATAAAATCTTATTTATAAAAACAGGAGGTGGGCAGAGTTGGCCTTTGGGTTGTAGTTTGCTGAACATGGTATAGCACTGAAAGATTCATGCTGAGGTCTCACCTCACAGCTGCGTCCCCATGTGTTTTGCATGTAGTTTAAGACGTCAGGTGACTCCTGTGCACATCCCAGGTTACAGCCAACTGTGCTTCCCCGCAAGGTGGAAGACGCTGAGTATGGGGCCCAGAACTGGAAATGGATTTACAAATACAGGAAACTTGGACATATACCCAGCAAGACCCTCCCTCCCCTGACAACACTTGGAGTGATTTTATTTCCCCCTTTCCACATCGATCTCATTTTCTCTGCTCTTCTCGAGGTCACAGGCTTGGTGACCTGGTGTGTGGAGGGGAGAGTGTCTCCTATTGAGTAGAAAATGTCACCTGTTAGAGATGAGCATGATAGGTCATCTGAGGGAACACGGAGGGATCAGGAGTCCTGGGGGATCCCCTCGAAGAGAAAGTTGTGGTCAGAGTGGGAATTTTGTAGTGTGGCCCCTTGGGAGTGGAACTGTTCTGAGAGCAGCTGTGGGCTGAGACGGTGACAGCGGCTCCTGGTTGTTGGCACAGTGTTTCCGGGCACTCTGAGCATGCCACCCTCATTTGAAGTGTTCTGTGCCCTAAGGAGTGGCTTCTCTTGGCATTCCCACTTTACAGAAGGACAGGAGGTGCTGAGAGGTCACATGGCGTAGGGAAGGCCAGGAGCTACTTAGAGCACCGAGGCCCTGGCAGGCTGGTGCCCAGGCAGCTGGGAGCCAGTGTGGTGTTTGTTCCTCAAGGGTGACCTCCCAGGTGGTGCCTGGAGGGTGGAGCAGATTGGTGTGTGTTTGTGCCCATGAGTGTGTGTACGTATGCATGCGTGTACGTGCCACAGCTGCAGAGGTGGCTACAGAGCAGAGGACCCACTGTAGGGAAGAGTGAAGAGGGTTTAAACCATGGCCTTCAAAGCTCTTCAAACTAGCAAACTAGTCTGAGGTCACCTTGGTGTTAGATGGGGCCCAGGCTCAGCAAACTCCGAGGCAGACTAAATGAGGATGTGGGGGTGCCTCAAGAGCAACCTGTATAAAACAGGTTCCAAGCTATAGTTTAAGGCCTACTCTCTTCTTTTGGGCAGTGCCTGAATAATAATAGTAACATCTTCCAGTACAAGTTAAGGTTATAAGCAGGTTGGTAGACAGGACTCAGCTTAGTAGAACCTTCGAAGAGGCCGGGCGTGGTGGCACATACCTGTAATCTGCACTGGGGAGGCTGAGACAGGAGGATCATTGCGAGTTCGAGACCAGCCTGGGCTACAGAGTGAACTCAAGGCCAGCTTGAACTGCATAATGAGACCCTGCCTCAAAAAGGCAAAAACAAAACAAAACAAAAACCTTCCAACAGCTGGAATTTTTTCTGCATTTTATTTTAGGAAAACCACAACCAGTAAAAGAAAACAGTGGGTGGACAGGGGCACACGCGGGAACTTCCAGGTTTTACCCTGGAGAATATATATACAGTATCTGTGTTGCTTTTATCTTTTGCATCCATATTGTTTTCCAAAGACAGATGTTCCCAGGGATCTTAATTGACTCAATCACAAGATTCAACACAGCAATTATAGTTGCGGAGAATCAAACCTACCAGGTACTAACTAAAATATTTAAAAGAATCTTAAACATGGTCTCTGTCCTGGAAAACTTTCAGTCATTGGAAGAGCATTTATCTTCAGGGTTGGCTGGAGATATAGCTCAGTGGCACAGCACCTGCCTGGTAAGCGCAAGGTCATGAGTTTGATTCCCAGTAGCCACCCCCCCAAAAAATTTTATCTTCAGGGTCAAGGGGCAAACTATATTGAGAGTTGAAAAATTCTCAATAAGGATTAAGGCAAAAAGGGTATGAGACTCCAACAATCTTCTGGAATATTCCAGGAAGTTTCGATGTTCTCCATGATCATGTCTAATTCTGAAATGCCAGTGCGTGTCCTGGGTTGGTTCTCCTTTGGGGTACCACGACTGCCCAGGTTTCTGAAAGGCACAAGGGGAATGCTCTGGCAAACTACCAGTATTATACCACAGCCCCTTTGCCTGCGTAGTGTTCCAGAAACGTCAGGAGTAAATGATGGGCCGAGACTGAACTCAGCTTCTATTTACTGGTGTCTTGGTGGCCAGCTGCCCCACAATAATTTGTGTGTGGGGACGTGTACTAGGGATTGAACCCTGTGGTGCTCTACTCTTGAACTACACTCTGTCCTTTAAATTTAAATTTTGAGTCAAGGTTTCATTAAGTTGCCCAGGTCTGGCCTCAGGCTTTTGATCCTCCTGCCTCAGGATCCAGAGTCACTGGGGTTACAGGCTTGCACCACCACATCCAGAGATACGTCATAATTTTATGCCAATCTGCTTCCTTCTTTCACATTTCCACTTGGGGAGGCAAACAGGATCTTTCCCTCTGCAGCTCCACCATGGCTTCTGACCTCCCCTGTCACTTTAAAAATCCCACAGAATGTGTAACTCTGCTCCAGGGTCAGCACACTGACAGCTTGCAGTCCAGTGAGGAACACAATCTGTGGTATTATATTCAAATCATTAGCTGCCATCATTTAAAACATTTGCCATTACAAGTTTGAATTTTTGGCTTCTTGTGGACACGGCAGAGCTGGCAATGCCAGGTCCCGTGTTGAGAAGTCACCTCCCCTCATGGGAGCCACCCTTCCCTTCCTGTCCCTGTCTGGCACTGGCACTAGGTGATGTTCTGACTGCCATGCGTCATCAGGCTTACGCTGCGGCTCTGTCCATTCCAGCTGAGTACTCTTCTCTATCTGTGAGCTTGATTTACATTGAGACACCAAAGAAAGACAGCAAACTGCGTGTGTCCTCTGGCCTGCACCCGCCACTGTCACTGCTGGCCCGACCCCTGTAGGCATGTTTCCTGCTCCAGACAAACTGTTTATTCTTTTCGAGAATTCACCCTTTGTTGTTCTCCCAGCCTCACTAAACTCATGCGGGATGACTGCTTTTCATGGTCTCACTCTGCTTTTGGCAGGTCACAAGGCATAGTGAACAAGAATCATCTTCCTCTCGATTAAATGTCAGTGGCAGTCAGGTGACACTGTTCGGCAACTGGCACCAGGTGGACCTGCCACTTCCTCTCCCTTGAATACACACCCTGGGGACACCAGGCCTCAGCCTGCAGATCGCACGTGCTGCTACTAGCGGAATAACCATCCTTTGCCTTTAGGGAACTGGGCACCATCGCACCATCACTGCTAGATGGAAGCAAGTGATTGTAGTCCTGTTTCACTTTAAGGCTGACTGTTTCAAACTAGGCAAGTGATATTTGGAGTCAAAGCAGGGGAAAGTACTGGATTCTTCGAAGGACAGAAAACAATATTGCGAGCGTCATAATGATGGTTTCGGGACTGGGAAGGTGGCGATGCGTCCTCAGCGCCGCTGCCTGTATTTGGGCTTGGAGCACCTTCCGTGCAGACACCAGTGGCCTGGGAACTCCGACTGGGGGAGTTTGTGACCGCCTGCTGGGCTCGGGAGTGAGGGCACCTTCTGGGTTGTTTCCTAGGCATCCCCTGGCCACCTTCTTCCACCTGTTCTTCCGAGTGAGTGCCATTGTCACCTATGTGTGCTGTGATTGGTTCAGCAAGAGCTTTGCTGGTTGCTTTGTCACTGTGCTGCTCCTTCTGTCCTTTGACTTCTGGTCTGTGAAGGTAAGGCTCCCTCTCCTGTGATGCTCTCTCGGGGCACATGTGCTTTGTTCCCAGATGGTGACTTTCCCTATACATGTTCATCTTTGGTTTAAACTGCTGGCAGATACTGCACTAAGCCAGTGTCACTTAAAATTAAGAGTGCACTGCTTAGTGTTTAATAAACAGGTTCTCAGTGTCAATTGTCACCGTGCACGTTTCCATTAGGGAGTGACAATCCCATGTGGCTTTAGAATTTTATAAAATTTACATATGAAAATTTCGTAAGCATATATAACATGAATATATAAATGTAGTTTTTAGGGGGCTCACTTTTTAAAGTAAGCTTAGCTATCAGAGGCATCAAAAACTGATGAGGAAATCACCACAGACTGATGCCCGTTTTCGTCCAGTTCTCAGCACAGTTTAACACCAGCTGGTGACCTTCATTTTATTCATCAGGATGATGACATTCTGCCCCTGGCAGGCCTCTGGTCATTTTGTCCATTCTCCTCAGAATGTAACCGGAAGACTCATGGTGGGCCTCCGATGGTGGAACCAGATTGATGAAGATGGCAAAAGCCACTGGGTTTTTGAAGCCAGAAAGGTATGCTCTGTGACCCGATGAAGGAATGTGAATCGGAGAAAGATCTGTGTGAAGTTTAAGTGGGTTCCTTCCGAGTTCTGTCTACACTAGCTGATTCCTGCCCCACACGGGCGCTCTGTGCAGTGAAGGCGTGTGTAACACGAAGGAGAGTGAGTGAATGCTCTTGACAGCCATCTTTGCGAGTTCTGAGAACTGCACTTTCCCCAATAGGTCTCTCCAAGTCACATCGCCGCTACGGAAGCTGAGGCGCGCATCTTCTGGCTCGGCCTCATCATCTGTCCCATGATCTGGATAGTGTTCTTTTTCAGCACCCTGTTTTCCTTGAAGCTGAAGTGGCTGGTAAGGCAACACCTTGACCTTAACATTGCTCTGACATCTTTTTTTTTTTGGGGGGGGGTACCGGGAATTGAACTCAGGACCTTGTGCTTGCCAGACAGGCACTTGTGCCACTGAGCTATATCCCCGGCCCTGCTGACAGCTCTACAAACCAGCAGTCCCAGGAGTAAGCTTTCACTGTTACTTACATTGAAACAGCTTTGTTGAGATATTATTATCCCAATATGTTTTGCCCATATGAATTGCATAATCAGTGGCTTCTAGTAGTCATAACTGTGAGACCATAATCATGATCAATTTTAGGGTATTTGCTTTTTTTAATGGTGCCAAAAGTTTATTTCAAAGGCGAGGGGTGAAGGGGTAAGGGAAAGAAAAAGGACAGATATAAGCAAAAATAAAAGTACACCATGTCTAGTGTAGGTAGGAAGGGGAGGTACAGAAGCACCGACAAACCAAAGCTGCCCTAGGTCAGACAGCAGAAGAGTGGCAGAACTAGGTCCAGACTTCAGAGTCTGCAATTATAACTACAATGTTGCTTAAATTATATTTAGGTATTTATTCCTCAAGGACTAAACCATACCAATGAAATTCTATACCTCCAAAATAAAACCTCACAGCTCTGATTTATTCTCTCACCTAGGAGACACAGGATGGGCTACTATGCAGTCAGGATAGCCCATTAGGATATTTTCATCACGCCAGGAACTCTGTACCCTTTAGCAATCACCCCTCTATGTCCCTGTTCTCCCAACCCCGGGAACCCACTAATCTATCTCCATAGATTTGCCTATTGTAGGACATTTTATATAAATGTAATTATACAACATGTGGTCTTTCATAACTGGCTTCTTTTAGTTAGCGTATTTTCACAGTCCATCTGAGCTGTGGTGTGTGTCAATAAACTATTCTTTTTTACGGCCAACTACTCCGTTGTCTGGATAGAGCACGCTGTTTATCTGCTCATCAGTTGATGGTTATTTGGTTGTCAGTGATCTTTTGGTTTTTACAAGTAATGCTGAGCCAAGTTTTGGTTTTATTTTGTAGTGCGGAGATGGAACCCAGGGCCTTGCACATGTTGGGCAACTGCTTTACCCCTGAGCTATATCCCCAGTCCCAAGAAAGGAATTTTTTAAAAAAACAGCGTGTTTCATTCTATCTTGGATGAGGGGCCCTGGCTAGGTGGGAATAAGCCAGGGAGTTGTGAGGTTCTATTTTGGAGGCATAGTATTTCATCGCTACAATTTAGTTCTTTGAATGAGTAACAAAGTATGTGGATGTGATTTAAGCGACACTGTAATTATAAGTGCAGGCTCTGGAGGTTGGACCCTGGTGTTCTGCCACTCTCCCGCTCCCTGGCCTAGGGCAGCTCTGGCTTGTCAGTGCTTCTGTCCTCTCCTCTCTGTGAAGTGAGGTGGTGAGGGCACCAGCTGCCGGGTTGGTGACTGCGGGGCATCCGTGACTGTTGCTCAGTAGAGGCTGGTGGGTGCTGGAGGCTTCCTCTCAGCAGACTTCCTTTGCTTTGCCCAAGCACAGGCTCTTGTGATTGCTGGGATTTCACTCCAAGCTGCGAACCTCTATGGCTACATCCTTTGTAAGATGGGAGGCGAGAGCAACATCAGCAAGGTCACAGCCAATTTTCTGTCCCAGACGGTGTTCCAGACGGTGAGTTGCTGAGGTCTCGCCTGGACTACGACCCTGCAGCCGTGCAGAGTGAAGGAGGCCGTTGGCACCGTAACTTGTGTAACCCTCCTGTCAGCCAGCCTGCCACAGTTCTTTTCACTGTGGTGAAATTTACACCAAATTGACATTTAAATCATTATCAAGTGTGCAGTTCTTGGCACTAAATACATCCACAATGTCGTGCAGTCGCCACCCATCTCCAGGACACCTACGCCTGTCCAAGCTGAAACTACATCTATTAAACACTAACTTCCCACCGCTCTGCCCCAGCCACACCACTGTCTGTCTCTATGCAGCTGACTATCCGAGGGATGCCTTTAAGTGCAATCAGACAGCGTTTGTCCTTTCGTGACATTTTGGTTGTGTGTTTTTCTTTAAAATCCTGTAGAATTAAGGAAGGAATTACTTTTTTTTTAATGAACAGATACTCCTAGAAGTGAGAAACAGGAGTTTTAAAAATTTGACCCGGCTCATCTGGCATGGTTTAAATAATCTTAAATTTGAACAAGGCTGCGGTGTGCCAAGACAAGAAGCCGGCAGTCCTGCAAGTTTCCCGGCCAGTCTGCTCACAAAGCAGAGAGCCGCGGCAGGCAGTTCTGAAGGCTGCTCCCTCCCCGGGTGACTTTCAGAAGCCTGGCCTTGAGGACATGGAGACTCACCAGCGTTTGGGGGGAAATGGATCAAGGCTGGTGGCTGTGAAGCTTGTAGGAAGTGCAGGCCCTGTCCCACTGTGCCCAAGGTCTAGGTGGCTCCTGTTTCCTGAGCGGCCAAGTTCACAGCCAGGCCAAAGCCAGACCGTACTCAGGCTCTGTGGCCTTGTCACCCTTTAGAGAGGTCCCACCTTCTTCACGTAGAACACGTGCAAATCCAACCGTGTGTGCAGGCAGAAAGGGGAGGGACGGAAGGGAAAGAACAAGGGGATTTGCCCACCCTTCCATTTTAGGCCCCAGAGTGGTACGGAAAACAGGAATTTATTCTTCCCTTGCTAGTCTCAGTTCCTGCTGCTGGCATGTGACCCTGGAAATTACTGGATATACTGTACACATATTACTAAACATGGCGCACACACAGACCACAGGTCCTCTTGAATGGTGACTTACGGGCTTTTCAAGGGAGTTTTGATGGCTCCCAGCTGCACTGTGTGCACTGACCCCGGAATGGACCCTAGAGTGAGGCTCTGCCGCCGTCCAGACTTCCCCTCCATCTGACGAAGGACAGTCTGGATGCTACTGCTTGAAACAGGACTGTGTTCCGCAGAGAAGCCCCATACCCGCCCTCTGGTTTCTTCCTGGGCTGGCTTTTCTGGGCAGAGCTTGTCCTGTGATCAGGCTGGCTTCTAGCAGCATCCCTGGTCCCCAGGCCCTTGGTGTCTGGGAAGAAACCTTGAGGGTGAGGTTCGAGGAGCTGTTTTTATTTTAAAATGGCATGTGTGCAAAGAAGACCCTGCAGCCATGTTCTACAGAGAGTGGACAGTAAATGGTTCAAGTGTCTCTGAGAAGGTCACTTCCAAGCATGTCAGCATCTGGTCCCTTCTGGCCCCCACCTGTCCCCAAGCTACTCAAGTGTGCTTGGATGTGCTGCTGGCAGGTTCCATGACCCGGGAACTGCTTGGTCCTCAACATGCTTTAGGAACTGATGAGGTTCTCTTCTTTTGTCTGATGGGGACTACAAAACTCTTGGATTCCTGGAAAGTAAGACCGAGCGCTCAGAATGCTCACATGTGGCGGCCCCCAGGACAGCCCTGCCCATACTGGGGAAAGCCACACCCCTACAGGGGTGGAATTCCCTGGTGGCTTAATTCCATAGGAGCTTGTTTCTGAGATGCCCTGAATCCTGGAAGGTGACCCAAATGGCTCTTGCTGCCCTCTGTGGATATAACCATGGCTGGAGCCTTACCTGGGCCCATTCTATAGCTAGAACCTGGAATGCTGTGACTGACCCTTCCCATCACTTTACTAGTGAATAAAACCCAGCCTCAAACTAAGAGGCAGGAACTCTATCCAGTTATTGTCACTTCTGCCTTCAATCTGAGGCCCTAATGGCTGCTGGTGGCTCCGTCTGGTCTGCACATGGGTTCACTTTGGGTCATTGTGGTTTTTGCTTTTTTAAAATCCACTTTTAAATAGCCTTACTGAGATGGATTTCCTATACCTTAAATTTTCACTTTCCTTTTTTTTTTGAGGTGGGTGGACATATGGGATTGAATGCAGGGCTTTCACACTAAGCTACAGACCCACCCCTTTGAAAATTTATTTTTTGTTTTGAAGTAGCGTCTCACTAAGTTGCTAAACTGTCCAGACTCAAACTTGTGATTCTGCTGCCTCAGCCTCCCAAAATACTAGGACTATAGGGGTACACCACCCTGCCTGGCTTAACTATGTTTTTTAAGCTATGAATTAGTTCTCAACACTGACACATCAGAAGATTTCTGATGGCTTTCTGTGGTCATTACAGGCCCCATCACCTGTACGGTCCCGGCCAAGGCTGGTGGTGATGACCATTCTGATTCTAAAGGGAAGGCTGCCCTTACACCCAGCCTGCCTCACTAGCTTCCCTGCTCGTAAGTGTCTGAATTTATGAGACTTGCTTAAACACTTACTTTGAATTATACTTCTGTAGGCTAATGTGGCTGGTGAATCTGGGGCTTCAACGAAGAAAGACTGGCCTTTGTCACAGCTCTTACCTTAAAGAGACAAATGAGAGATGATGAGGCACTTGAAGAAAACATGGTACAACGAGTCCCTGGGGTTCTATCTGTGCCAGTGACAACATGATCTGTAGCCCATGGAGAACAAAGCTGGGACCCCAGGACCTCACTTTCATCCCCTCCACCCAGCAGGGGACCTGGGTACCATTTCAGTACAGCTGCAAGTCAGCTGGGTATGTGGCAAGTGCAGGATCAAGGGCCCCACAGAGAACTGATGATTTAGCAGCTCCCAGGTGGACCGAGCAGTGTACATGTTAAGAGATTAACTGAGTATAAAGATAATGAATGTACATGGTTAAAAAAAAACAAACCAACTACCCATGGACTATAACAGGAAAGTACCATGAAAAGGAAATACAAGAAGGCTACTAGTGTTTTGTGGATCTTGCCAGAAACACACAGATACATGAACTTCAAACGGACACACACCCATAGACTCTTATACTTGAAACACAATAGGAACATAAAATGCTTTTGATATGTTTAAATTCATCCTCACAGTCACCCACATGGTACAGATCAGTATGCTGGTCCTTCCCAGCTGTGCGGCTCTTGACTCCAGTCCCCTCCTGGCCACACACAGGTCATCTCTGGGGCCACGTGGTAGAGGAGACAGCCCCTCTGAGGGGTGACTGGCCTTGAGGATGCCGTGGTGGCTGTGCCCAACCTCCCTTAGGGCCACATAGCACTGAAATGCTCCTGCAGGCTGAGACCTTCACCCTCCCTCACCCTGGGCTTGGGGTTCTCCCAGTACATCTCTTAGCAACCAACCCCGTCGCAGGGCACCTGCTTGAGGCAGGGGTGCAGGTGGTGTACCCTCCTGTGCTGCTCACGCTCATTTACCTGGCACCTGCCTCTGGGGCCTGTGGGGCCTCTGCCTTGGCTCACAAAAGGAGCGGGAAGTTCTCCCACCACAGGCAGGGGGCAGCTACCTGGTGAAGGCTCTACCACCTAGGGGAGGCTGGAAGGCAGCTGTGGTTCTCTGCATTTTGCAGGGGAATCACACCCCAGAGGAGCACCTTGGACACTGTCCAAGCAAGGACACACTGTGGGAGCAAGGGAAGGCGGGTGGGGACACACTCTCCTATACACAGGGTCTGCGGGTTCTCCAGGGCTAATCCCATCCTCAGGCCATCCCTCTCCCATTTCCTCATTCCAAAGGCAGGACCCTGCCCACCTCTACACTGTTTTCCCAGCCCCTCCTCAATCTGCCCCACACTGTTGCCCATTCTTGCTGCTTTGGCACTGGTCTGACACTTCCTCTGTCCCCCACCCTCAAGACTGCCTGGGCGCCTGCCACTCAGAACCAGGTCCCAGAAGGAGTGATGGCCCTGCAGTTGCCTCCCTATTATATGTCTCTGGCTGCAGTGGGCTCTTGTCCAGATGGCTTCTGCTGGGCAGCAAGGACAGCCTTGATGCCCCTTCGTCCTCAGCCATTAAGTCCTGTCATTTTCCCTCTTGTACCAGGGCTCAACTCCTGGTACCAAATGGACTGCGGCCCTGTGCTGCTAGCCTGGCATCTGTGGGCCCACACCCATCTAGATGCTTGGCTTCTCCCCCACAGCCCAAGCTCCGAGGCCTGGCTCAAAGCTGTAGTGGGGCACCAGCCTCCCTCTCCCTGCAGCTCTTCTGCTGCACACTTCCTGTCGGTGGGTTCCTGCACAGGCACGTGAAACTTCAGCAAGTTCCACTCTTATTTTGGGGAGACAGCAATCTGGAGGAGTAGGGTAGAGAAGGGAGAGGCTTCCTAGGAGCAAGGGCTCCAGGGCACCTCCCTGGGGAGCTCTTCAGACCCACACTCCTCTGTAAGCTGGTATCTTCCTTTCCTAGTGCCCTCTCTGTTCTCCATCACTATCTCCCTGAACAAGTTCTGCTCATTTCACCAGGGGTCTGCTCACCCTAGGCACCCGCCCATGGGTATCACCATTTCTCCTGCAGCAGCAGCGGCAGCAGCAATGGTGGCGGTGGCAGTGGAGTCAGCCTCTGGGGGACCAGCAGGAGCAGGAGTCCTGCACATCTGGCTCCGACTCCCCTCTCCATGCCCAGCCTCGTGCCCATGAGGGCTGAGCAAGCAGTGAGGACCCACTCAGTGACTCGCTCACCTATGTGTGGATCCAGAGGCACTTTGCCAAGTAGAGGGATCTTCAGGTCTTGACACATGGACTCCGCACCCCCACTTGTTGGGGGGAAGATCTGAGATTCTTTCTGTGAAGAAAATGAAAGAAGATGAAGCCTGTCCTTGTTTTAGTATCATAAGGACAGAACACGGTTTTTAAATCTTTTTTAAAAAGTCTAATTGGGTGTGGTGGTGCACACCTGTAACTTTCAACACTCTGGGAGGCTGAGGCAGGAGGATTAAGTTCAAGCTCAGCCTCGGCAATTTTGTGACTTAGAAAGATCCTGCAACAAAATAAAATATGAAAAAAAAGGGCTGGGGATGTAACTCAGTGCAAAGGCCCTGGGTGGAGTCCCAAGTACAAAAAAACAAACAAAAAACTTCATTCTGTTAGTATAGAACATTAACCACCGAAAGCATTTTCCCTTCAGTCAGCAGTAGAGGGTTTTAACTCAGATCTGCTTCCCAAAATGATGGAAACCAGGAACATTTTCACAGAGACAGTCCTCTGAAGGGGTGTTTGTACAGACCTGACACCATGCACTCTCTCACCTTACACCTGGGGCAGACAAAGCCACTCATGTTCTCCACCACCCCGATGATGGGCAGCTTCACCTTCCGGCAAAAGTTGATTTCTTTCCGGACATCCTGGAGTGATATCTCCTGCCGGCGCAAATAGCCAGTTACTCCAAAGTCAAGCAACTGATTTGTGTGCCCGAGCAGAGGCTGCTCTGTGGTGGACTCACTCCACACAGTCTCGGAGATGACTGCCACTTACTCAGTATTTATTTGGTGACTACTATGTGAAAAGTCCTGTTTTAGCTGCTTTTTTTCCCACAAACCTCAACAGCCAAGTAGTAAACAGAAGAATCTGCCGCTGTTTCTCAACGCAAGAAGTGAACACTTGCACACTGTTTGTTAGATCACAGCCTGGCTAACTCTGCTGGGTGGGCCACCTGCTTCCGTGAAGGAAGCCCTTCCAGAACCTGCCACACCCACCGCTCTGTATACTGTCCACAGTGGCTTGGCTGAGTCCCTGCAGCCGAGACTTTACGGTCTGCCTACAGTATTTACTAGCTGGCCCTTTATAGAAAGTTTGCTCACCCCTGCTTGACATTATGAACACGAACAGCTTTACGGAGAATGAGAAAAAAGGAATACTGCCCTCTTTAGGTCACTTTAGATGCACTTCTGAAATCTGAACACTTATCTCACAGTGTCATTTTACCGTTATCTAGTCCCCTTGCTATTGTTCCCATTCAACATTATTGCACGATTGTCTGTCCAGGCACTGTTCTGGCTCGTAACTGAGCTGCTTCTTAACTCCTGTGGCCCTACCACTCATGGGCTTCCAACGGTTCAAAGCTTCCAGAGGTCTCTCTTCCTGAGAGATACATGTAGCTCTCAGCCCACTGAGTCCGGTATTTAGGAAAAGGCCTTAGCTAAGGAGGGAATGGCTGTTACTTAGTCTCTTATCAATTACTCCTCTGTGGTTATGCTTAGTGTCTTATGAATAAAATCCTGCTGCTTGTCAAAAGTGACCCAGAAGAAGCCACACTGCCCCTGTCAGTGCTTGAAGTGAGGGGCTCTAAAAAAGTTTATGTCCCTGCCCAAAGCTACATTTTCCAGAGAAGCTGTTACAAATGTGGGGAGCCTACTGGCACCCAGAGAAAGGCTGGTACCCGCTCATTCTGTTTTCTCTTCTTGGACAATCCTAAGGGTGGGCGTTATGGTTTTGTGTCTAGATGTCCCCCCAAGCCTCATGCAGTCATAGGGTTTTTTTTGGAAGTGGCTGACTCTAGAGCGTGTCATTAATTCATACTGCAACGCTGGGATTAAGACTGCATTGGCAGCAACCTAATCTGGGTAGACTGATACAACATAAGGGACAGAAAGAGGCTTGTCTCCCTCTCTCCCTCATGGCTTTTGTTGTCTTCTGCACCATGAACTGTTGTCCCTCTGCCATGTTCCACCCTGCCTTGCAGCCAACCAATTATGGACTGAAACCTCTACAAACTGAGCTAAATAACCCTTTCCCTCTTTAACTCTGGGTGTTGGGTATTTTGTCCCAGCAATGAGAGAAAAATAATTGAGACAGTGGGCTTAACTGCCTCCTATTTTAGGGGACTAGGGGATGAAATCCAGGGCCTTGTGCGTGCCAAGCATACCACCTGCCACTCAGTTTAACAATCTGGGCATAGCTACAGACGCATACTCTGAAGAGCCACCTGAGGCCAGAATCTGTGTCAGAGCTACAAGGAAAAGGAACCCAATGCTCACTCACCTGAGGGGTAGTGATGATCACTGCCCCATCGATGTGTGCTGCAGCCAGATACTGGACAACTGAGAGGTGTTCATCGGATGTGCCGGGCGGCGTGTCCACAAGCAGATAGTCCACATCCCCCCAGTCCACGTCCCGCAGGAACTGCTTGATCATGCCTGCAAAGAAGTTGAGGCTGCTGCCTGCCTCCCTTTCCTTTCCGTACCACAAAAGGATATGTGGAAGCAGTGTGCGGTCTGTCTGTATGCCTGCTCTGTGAGCCACACACCCAGTTCTCAGCTGGGGGTGACACTGTCCCCAGGGGCATGCAGTCATATACAGAATCATGTTTGGCTGCCATGACTAGCTGAGGAGTGCTTCTGGCATCAAGTGGGTCGAGGCTGGAGACACCATCAAACCTCCTCCATGCATGGCACAGCCGACCTGCCTCCCCACTAAAGAAGTAAGTGGCCCGCAGAGTCAGTGATGTGAGGGGAGTGACTGAGTACCTGCTCAACCTGGCAGGAGGCGCACCTCCCAAGCCTCTCTCTGACCCCAATAAGCCAGCACAAAGCCCTAACAAAACCAATTTCAAGATTCTACAGATGTGAAGAGAAAAACTCCCAACAGATATTAAGAATTATAAAACGGAAACTAGTATTTCTCATAGCTTTCCTCACTGTCTTCTTCAGTGAGGACAGAGGCCACCAGATGGTAGGGAGGAACACATTATAGCGGCCAGGGTCTAACTGCATGGCAGAACACCTGCCTGACACGCATCAAGCACCGGGTCCCGCCCGCGGCACTGCAAAGCAGTAACAGCAACAGTGACACACTACAAAGCCTAGCAGGGGACTGCTGCTTCCTGACAGGGTAGGACGTAACCACACAAGAATGCGAGCCGAAAAGCAGAGTAGCAAACCGTTTTTCTTCGGTCCCCTCCAGATAACAGCATCATCAGGGCTGCTGAGCAGGAAACCCACAGACATCACCCCCAGGTTATCTTCCACGTACTAGGAAAGGAACAGGGGTGAGGGCGAGATGCACTTTACTCAAGGCCACAAAGAGCGGTGCTTCCCTGTGGCTCCTGTCTGGGGCCTAGCTAAAAAAATTATTTTCAGGACAAAGTTATCATGTGACTTATGAGCATATCCACTCTTTGCATCCTCCACCCATATTGAGAGGATCTGAAAGCCCTATGCTGCAATGACAATCAACTGAGCTGAAATAAACACATGTCCTCTCCTTACCTGTCTTAATCAGGAGTCACTAAACTAAGGCTCCTGGGGACAAATCTGGCCCACTGTCTGCTTTTGAATAAACTTTTATTGGAACACAGTCATGGTCATTTAGTCACATATTACTACTTTCCAGCCATAGTAACAGAGTATATAGGTCCATAAGCTGAAAATATTTACTGTTTGCCCCTTGACAAAGTTTGCCAAACCCTGGTCTTACTGCATCTTCCCTGCCTGGAAACGTATCCTAGTAAATATCTGCAGACTGACAGACAGGAAGGCTGGGAAAAATGTTCCCAACCCACCACAAAGCTATTATGTACACTGTCCACACATACAACCTGCACCATAAGGCACAGAGGTGAACACTCACCACTGGAGACCAGCCCGAGCCACTCTGGTGAACCTGTGCAAACACAAGCATTATCGACTCATGAGAAATTATGCATCCTGGTCACACTTTGTATACAGACAAAGCATATGCAAGCAGCTGTGTAAAATACACTCCACCATTGCACACAACAGCCCTGAATTCTTGATGGGACGTGAACAGCTAGGGTGTGGGGTGAGGAACAAAGATATAATTCAGGCAGCACTCTGCTTCCCAGATCAAGCTGTTTTGAAACTCCCTTTGGGTCTGTAGTCAGGGAACCAAAATTAGTCCAGTTCAAATATGATTCTGAGTCTGAGGTATTTTAAAAGAGAGAGTGAGAGAAATGGGCTGAAAATTCTTGAGAAAATATAATTCACCGTGGAGCAACAGGTTACTTGTGTAAAAGTCTAGGAGTAAGAGGAATTCTTTTCAGTGACATGGAGGGTTCAAACCTGGCCCAGTGAGCAGCCTGAGCTTTAGCCCAGGTCAAAAGCCGGGGCCACAGGACTCAGCCTGAGTCAACTGTGAGCCTCAGATCTTACCTTCAGGCTTGGTGTCCATGATTTGACCCTTTATAGCTCCTTGTTTTGTTTTGGTTTGTTTTGTACCAGACACTGAACTCGGACCTTGCGCTTCCCAGGCAGGCGCTATGCTGCTGAGCTAAATCCCCAGACCTGTGGCTCCTTGTTATGGAGTTAGGGCTGAGCAGCCTGCAGGTATGCACCAGTCTTAGCAATTAGGCCGCTGTAGAGCGGTGCATAGCAGCCAAAAATCAAAGAGTGTTGGGGCTGGGGATTTAGCTCAGCGGCAAAGCGCCTGCCTGGCAAGTGCAAGGTCGTGAGTTCAGTTCCCGGTACCGGAGAAAAACAAAAAAAACAAACAAACAAACAAAAAAAACAAAGAGTGTTGTTCTTGATGAAGTCTTACTTTTTTCAAGCAGCCTCAATGAAATTCAGTTCAGAGACCACACGATTCACTCATTGAAAGTGTGTACATTTTATGGCCCTGTTACATTTACAGAGCTGTGCACCCACACAACAACCTTCAGGACGTTTTCATGAGCCCAAGAAACCCTGCGCTCCTTAGCTGCCATCCCCCACCTCCCCACTGTCCCCCTGCCTTAGGTAACACCTAACCGACTTCTTGTCTGTATGGACTTTCCTGTTTCACAATTTCACATAAACTAAAACGTAATACATGGTCCTCTGTAATCGAAGTTTTTCTTTTTTTTTCAAACTATTCATTCCTAGTTATTCACTAAGTCTCTGGTCTTAAAAGGGTTATAAACATGATGGTCCAATAGCATAGAAGGAAATACTTATGTTTTATTTTTATTTCATCTTTTAAAAACTTTTTTGTTTCTGAGATGGGGGTCTCAGTACACTGCCCAGTCTGGCTTCAAACTCCAGAGCTCAAGTGATCCTTCTGCTTCAGCCTCCTGACTAGCTAGGACTACAGGGGCCCACCACGCCTGGTTACATTTTCACTCTCATGAAATATTTCTGTGCTACTACAGTAAGTTCCTTATACACACGTTGGGTGAAGTGTGTGACTGATTAGGGCCAGTGATCTAGAACGTTTAGATCCTGCCCAACCACGGGTTGTGTCACCCCCCTGGGGTACCCTCAGATGCAAACTCAAGGCCTTAGCAGAGCTGCCAGGCCTGGCCCCACCCACCCCAGTGACCCTCTAGTCCACCGAGAACACAAGGACACCTGGGCTCAAGCTCCTCCCCTTTCCCTGAGCCCACAGCTCCTCTCCATTCTCCTCTCTGTGCGTCAGCTGCTGCTCGCTTTGTCATCTGCTTGTAAAAGGCCACCCCTCAGTGAGGGTGCCCTGGCCCACTCTTGCCAAGGAGCAGCTCCCCTTGCCCTGCTGCCATTTGCTGTTGCTTGCCCAATTCCATGAGGCTTTACCCACCTCGCTTACTCTGTTTCCTCAGAATGGGGCCTGGCGCTAAGGAAAGGAGACAGTCTCGAAAGCCCCAGGAGAGTGGGCCCCCATTTCCACCTCTCTGGGGGGTGCTCCCGGGAACAGCATGTCACTAATGGGAGAGAAACCTGACATCTGCTCTACAGGGGTGGCGCTGCCCCCTGCCTGCATCACTCACCGCCTCACCTCGAAGTCTCAGTTCCCCAGGGCAACCACAAGGGCAGAAGATTACCTGCTTCCAGGGCACAGACCCCGAGCAAGTCTCAGCCTCAAGGTCCCAGCCACAGCTGCGTTTCTGTGTCTCACTTCTGCATTTCACTGTTTCCCTTTCCCTTTGAGAAGGCATCAAAACCCGTGCTTCTCAAATGGTGCAGATGGATTTTATATGTAATCGCACTCCTCAAATAAAGAGCTGTTGCTCAAGCAAACAGGCCATGGAACACGTATCTGAGCTCACCGTGCCCACACAGACAAGCACGGCCTCTGCTTGCCTCCTTGCCTGCCCTAGAAGAACAGTTCCCCCGAGTTCTGAACCACAGCTCTTACCTGTTCTCCTTCCAATCCCATGATCTTGGGAATAGAGGGCCCACATATATCGATGTCCAGAAGGGCGACCTGGGGGGTGAGGCAACACCTGGTGGTTACGCACCGAATGTACAGAGGAAAGGATGGGGTAGGGAGTAGGAGGTGGCAGAAGGGAACTAGGTCAGATGTGAAGGAGACAGGTTCTCATGGGGGAAAGTGGTAACACTGACCTTCCAGGCCGCCAAGGGCATTGCTCAAACTTCTAGGACAAAGCTTATCAACACGGCCCCCTGCCTCATTTCCAGCTTGGCTCCAAGGCTGCCTTATGGACAGGTGTCAGGGTACCTGCAGACTCAGGGTTGGCCATGGTTTACTCAGCCCTAGGTGGTAAGCATCAGGACCTCTGCTTCACAGAAGAAAAAACTGAGGTTCGGGGAGGCCGAGTGACATGTTCAAAGAGCAAGGAACTGAGCTGAGACATACAGCAAAGTCTCCCAACTCCAAAGCTAGAGTTCTGGACAGGTACCCAGAGCAGACCTTCTGGCTGAGCTCTGGCCAAGCCTGTTTTCCTGTGGTCCTAAAGGTTAACAAGCTTTCAAAAGACACTTAAAATGAGAATGAAATCTAGAAAGCTCTTTGCTGATTTGGTGCAGTCTCAGATGACTCCTCCCACGCCCCAACCTCTGCCTTCCAGTCTGAAGCATGTGAAGGTCTGTGCCTGTCTTCAGGAGCCTAGGGAAGCGCAGGCCTCACATTCATCTTGACAGCTGGGAGGTCTCGGTTGTAACGTGCAGCACCTCTGGGTAACTTCTGAACTTGCCCCAAGCCGCTTCAATTGTTCAATTCTCTGAACAGACCCAATCTCCTACTACCTCAGAGCCACAGAAAACTTCACTCCTGGGAGACCGCTTGCCTCTTGTGCCCTCTGCTGGACCAGCCCAGTAGTGCAGCAGAGCAATACACCTGACTTCTTTCTCTTCTTCATCATGCAGTGATCCAGAAACTTCACATCTGTGCCTCATGAAGTGGGAGAGTCTGCCATCACTGCAACCCCAGCAGGCTCTCCTAAGGCAACTTGGGCTTGGAGCCATCCTGTCTCCATGCCACTCGTGGGAACAACTCTATCAGTGACCTTTTGAGAAGCCACACTCCTGTGACCAAGGGACGGAACTGAGTAAAACCATGCGGGGATTCAGTAGACAGGTAAGGACACTGACCCCACTGGGGTGCCCACGGGGCTGTCAGCCAGTTCCTGGTCCTAGACGGCCAGGCTGGTCCCTTTAGATGCGCCATTGAAGGTATCACTACTCCAATAATGGCGATTACTTCCCTTTGTGCTTAGGTTCAGCTGGAGAGCCCTCGCTCAGAGACCAGCACCTGCACTTTGTGGCCAGCTGGCAGGAGCTGATGGTGAGGGGGATCTCTAGCAGTAAGTGGGGAGCAGGCCACTGCGGGGCTGTCAGAACCCTGCACCCTACTGCTCCCCTTAAGCGGGCAGGGGAAAAGGGCTCCAGCCCTTGCTCTGAGTCTTCCCAGGCTGTGTCACCTCACACAGCTTTCTTCTCCATTCTCTGCTCTCTCTGTCTGGGCTTCTGGTGCATGAAACAAATATTCCGAGTACTTCAAGGTCTGGGGTTTATCAGTGCCAGGGAGGTGCCTCAAACACTCCAGTTCCCACACACCCAGTGCTGACTTTTCAACGATGCAGTTCGCCTCCCAGATCATAATGCAAGATCACAAATCCGTAGCTGGTGACGTTCACAGTAGAAAGCTGGAGCATGACTCCTTGGCTCCAGCTTACACTACAAAGGCTCCTCCAGCTTTCACAACTTACACATTCCCTTGCGTGCTGGCAGTCATTCACCGTTATTCTCCAATTCTGCTCCCTGCTGGTCCACAGTCCTTTCCAAATGGAACGACAGAGGACCCGCTTTGTGCAGCAAGGGCTCAGCTCCCACCAGATAGCTGGCAGGCGAAGGACAGGGCATTCCCCAACCTCCTGCTGGATTTAGGGACGGTGGATGAAAGTAGTCATGGTGCTCCACTCGGGATGCCTGGGGAAACACACTGTCCTGCATGCACCTTTCTTTTAAGCCACCACTGCAAGCAGAAATGCAGCATACTTAGCCATATCTCCATACTAGGTGGTAGATTTCCTTCAGTACACTGCTACATCTATCTGTGCAAGGAGGACTTCAGAAAGGAATGCTGTGGAAGGGAGTGATGTACACAGCTGACTACTCAGGACTAGTCAGAGGACAGCCTGGCTTTAGACAGCTGTATAAGGATACTCTTGACAATTCTAAAAGCAAACATTGTTCCACACAATCTGAAGTAAATAGATTTTGAAAAAAAATTTGTGGTAGTGGGGATTGAACCCAGTGCTCTACCACGGAGCTACACTCCCAGCCCTTTTTATTCTGACACAAGGTTTCACTAAATTGGCCAAGCTGGCCTTCAACTTAAGATCTTCTGGCCTCAGGCTCCCAAGCAGCTGAGATTACAGGCATGCACCACCACAGATTTCCTGACTAGTCCACTAGGCAGTAAAAATCTGACGACAAGACTGTTATCTCATAGAACAACGAACTGACAAGTATATTTTCACCTGCTCAACACTGCTATGGGTAGGCTACAAACACATCCCTAAAGCAGAAATCATTATCCCTTCATCTTCCAGGTTGTATAGTAAAGCAGTAATAATGACTGCTGTCATAGACATTTACAGAACACTTACTATGGTCAGGTGCCATGCTAGCAGTTTACATGCCTCATCTCACTCAGTCCTGAGCCCTACTTCATAGATGAGAAAAACAAAGCAAAGAGAGCCTGTTACCTGCCCTAGGCCACAGCAGTGCTATGGATGGAACTGGAATGAAAACCTGGGCTGTCCAACTCTTGACCTTTTAGTCTTGGCTACCTACCACACCTTTATTAAAGTTGATACCCAGAGAACCGCACTGGGTGATCTGAGTTTCCAAGCTCATCCATGTACCTGGGTAGAAATGAAAACCTAGTGCCAAAGAATTTCCTACAAAGGCCAAACAGAAAATATTTTATGTCTTAAAATGTAAATGTCACTCTTAGCTCATAGGAGATGGACTGGATTCAGCCCATTAACTATAGTTTATAGGCACACGGCTTAGAGAAAAGCTGAAAAAGGGGTTAGTAAAGAGCAAAAAGAAGTCTCAACATAATGCAATAAATTATCAGCATGCAAGAAGAGAGTGCTATCCACCAATTTCTTGGCTAGGGAACCCAGTGAAACACCTCAGATGAGTTCCCTGTTCCCTGTTCTCTCTGCAGGAATCAAGATGCCCAAGGGACCAATTCAACTTAGTCTAAAAAATCAGTTGTCTAAGAGCCACCATGAGCCCTCAGGCAGAAAGACCATTACCCAGGTTTCCCAGGGTCCCACCTGTGTGTTTTCATCCTCTGCGAGGCCATGGGCAAGGTGGGCACTGAAAGTGCTTTTCCCAACGCCGCCTTTCCCAGACAACACCAAGATTTTGTGTTTCACCATCTTCATTTTCTCTTTGATTTCCTCTATGGCTGCAAAGGAAGCAGTTCAGGTAATGAACTCCCTGCACAAATCCTGAGGAACATTCTTCCAATGGGCTAAGTGAAGCTAAGGGGCTGTTTTAAAGGAACCCGTGTGAGACACCACTTCATCAATGGAATAAGTACCACCAAGACAGTAAGGCTGTGGTTACACTTCAAAGTGGCTTATTTATTGGTTTATGTATTTGTCTTCTCCCCTAGAATAGAAGCTCCATGAGGGTAGGGAGTGTTTGAGGCCTTCACTGGTATATACACAGCTCTTGAACACAACTTTACAGGTTCAAAACCTAGGGCAAAATCCTCCAAGGGACATTTGGCAATGTTGAGATATTCTGCATGCCACAATGAAAGAGTGCTACCAAGATCTAGTGGGTAGAAGCCAGAGACGCTGCTAAATGTCTGACAAAGCACAGGACAGCCACAGAACAAAGAAGGATCCAGTCCCAAACGTCAGTAGCTGATGATGAGGAATTCTGATTAAGTAGCAGGCTTGTAATAAGTATCTGTCACGGACAGCTATTATTTACTGTGCTTTAGATGTTTCATCCTATTTCAAATTCTTAAAACAGTACTAGGAGGTAACTATTTTTCTCTCTAGTTTTGATGAGGAAGAGAAGGCTCAGAGAGGTTAAAATTCTTGCTCAAGTTCACAGCTCGCAGTGAGTTCAAGAATCAAACCCAGTCTCTCTTTGAACCAGATTCTCCCAGACTCTTGCTTTTCAAGATCCTTCTAAGTAGGTGTTAAGAGGCCGCCCCACCTTGGAATTTGTCCTTCACAGTACTTAGGAGGCAGTAATTTATTTATTTGCTTGCTCATCTGTTTATCATCCTTACTAAACTAAACTCCACTAGAGATGGGACCACACCTGTCTCGTTCACAGCTGTCTCTCCAGCACAGAGCACTGTGCCTAGGAGGTGACTGACTATACTTCTAATGACTGGATGGAAGAGTCACTCCCCGAAAGAAAGAAAATTTCGTCCAGCTGGCAGAGCTAGAATTTAAGCCCGTGGGTACTTAGTCCTTCCGAGGTCGGCTACAGTCACTCAAATCTCTGTCCTCGATTTTTCCAAGCAGTGCCGCTGTCGGGCCCCGCCCCCTCTTTAAGGACCCTTTTGAGTCCAAGCCTATTATTGATACTTCTGGATCCGTCCCATTTCCGCCCCCTTCCTCTGCTACCGCCTTTTAAAGGTCCCTCATTTTTTTCAGGCCACGCCCCTCCCCTACGCCTATTGTACTACGCCCCGCCCACTGCCTTTCAAAGTCCCGCCTCTTCCGGGCCCGAGGTTTCACTTCCCGTTTAAACTTCGCCCTTTCCTCACCCGGGTCCGCAGCGGCGCCGGCTCCAGAAGCACACAGCCGCTGGTTGGGGCATCCCTGACACGAGGTCCCTCGGCCCGCTTGGGCGCTGTCGGCCCCGGGACAGTCTGCGCGGAGACAAGAGCACAGTTAGAAGAGCTCCGGTTCCTTCAGCCCTACCACTCACGCCCTGCGCGAGCTCACCATGAGGCACCTCCTCCATCCCGTCGCTCTCGTAGTCGACGCGCTCACCGGAACCAGCGGTGGCGCATTTCCGCCTCTCGGGCCCAATCTAACTCTCCAGCGCGCCAAATAAGTCTCCGGAGTGGAAATGTACTGCGCGCACGCGTGAATCTGGTGCCGAAGGGGCGAGGCTATTATAGTTGTGCTGCCCGTACAACTGAGCTACGGCTGTCTTTTATAAATACTTCGGCATGTGTCTCCTAAGAACGTTCTCTGTAGCCTAAATGCCATTTTTACATCCAAGAAATTTTTATATTGATGCAGCACTGCTAGGTAATACACAATCTATTCAGGTTTAAATATTGTTTGAAATAACCCCCCCTTCTGCTCCTATCCTGGATTCAACCGAAAATCACAGTACCTGCTAGGTCCCTTCACTCTCCTTTTTAATTCAAGAGACCTCCTTTTCTTCTATTTTTGGTCTTTTACCACACTGACAAATTTCGAAGGTAGTCTTACAGAGTACCCCGTAGTCTTGATCTGCCTGCTCCTCCTGCTCCATGATCGGATTCAAGTTAAGTTTTTCTTTTCCTCTTTTTTTTTTCTCAGAACTCACTTGAGTGTGTACTTGCCATTGAGTACGTGGTGCGTAATATCAATTTGTCTTGTTATTGAGAATGTGAGGCTTGATCCTTTGGTAAGGGTGTGGTCAGCCTGCTTTCTCCAGGGAATGGGACCCGTCTCCTGCTGTGAGTAACAAGGACTCTGGGGTAAGGCGCTGAGATCATATGAACATCCTTTTTAAAAAATCAACCTTTTCCCTCAGTGGTTTTAGCATCATTGTGTCAATCAGTAGTTGTTGGGACTTCCACACTGGGATTATTATAATGTGTTATCATTATGTTTATTTATTTATTTTAATTTTTTTGCTGTTTTTGAGACAGGGTCTCTGTGCAGTTCAGGCTGGTCTTGAACTCACTTTTGTAGCCCAGGCTGGCCTCAAACTCACAACGATCCTTCTGCCTCAGCCTCCCAAGTGCTAGGATTACAGGCGTGCACCACCACACCCGGCTATCTTTTTTTTTTTTTTTTTTTTTTTTTTGAGACAGGGTCTCGATACGCAGTTCAGGCTGGCCTTGAGCTCACTTTATAGCCAGGCTGGTCTCGAACTTGCAACGATCCTCCTGCCTCAGCCTCCCGAGTGTTGGGATTACAGGCGTGTGCCACCACGCCTGGCTATCTTTACATTTATTAACTGGCATTCCTCTTGAAGAACTTTTTTTTTTTGAGATTTACCACGGACTTGTGGATTTTTAAAAATTCTGTGTTTTACAGTAAGTTATTCCTTCTGGTCATTTCCCTCCTTCTCCCCTCTGATTTGTCCAGTGTGCTTTTTAAGCCTAGTGTCATGTCCTGTGGGCCCTAACCCAACCTCTTTGTCTGGTTATTGGAGAAAGCAGGCTGACCACACCCTTACCAAAGGATCAAGCCTCACATTCTCAAAAACAAGACAAATTGGTAGACAAGACAAATTTGTTATTGGAGGCTTTTCTTGCTGTCTGACACAGGATCTCCCAGGCTTTCCCATTGGCCCTGAGCCATGTCTCCAAAGAGCCTGGTTACTTTCAGTGTCAGCCGAGGTTGGGTGCCTTATGTGGTCATTGCTTCTTGGCTTGGCGTAAATTTTAATGAATATACAGACTTTACCTGCTTCAGGCACTAAGGGAATAGAAGCATTTATTAAACAGTGACATATCAGTTGCCCGTGACTACCACTATTTTTAGCTCTCTGTAGGGTCAGGCAGCTGGAGATGGGCTCATGCTTCCAGACCGACGTGGCCCCTGCCATCCTGGAGCCCAGTGTCCCTGGGACAACAGATAATTAATCATGTAATTACAGTATGATAAATGCTATGACAGACGAAGACCAGGTGCAGAGGGAGGTTTCTGGAGGAGCCACAGCTGAGTCAGAGCCTGCAGGCTGAATGGGACACCCCGCTGGGGACGGGTGGAGGTGGTGTTTCATGCTCAACAAGCAGCAGCAGCAACAGCCTGGAGGGAAGTGAAGGAATTTCTTGTCAGGTAGGGACTGTTGTTAGCTCCATTTTGCAGGTAAGCAGACAGGGTTACAGAGAAGTACTTGCCCATAAAGCCAGTAATTTGGCAGGACCAGAATTTCGACAAATTCTGATATACAGCCTGAGCTCCTAACACTACCCCCTATGTGCAAGGATAGATGTAAATTATTCGTCTTTACCAAGAAAGGTGGAGCTCAGAGAGGTTAGGTGGCTCGCCCAGGATCACACAGCAAGCAGGCCACCCTGGAGCTCTTCTGACCATGGGATCTTTTTCTCTGTCACACTGCAGAGGCCTGAGACAAGACAGGTTAGGTTCCTTCTTACTGATGACCCTCCACGGACATTTCCTAGTAGGTCCCTCTCAGCTGATTTTAACAGCAACACCACTTTCCATCTCTTTTGTGCTAATTGCACAGGGACCCACTCACTCAGCGCTCAGCCAGCCTTTGGGAGGTGGCAGGGAAGAAATGCCTGTTTTTCAACCTTCTCTCACCTCCCCCGACCTGGGCAGCTGGAAAAAAGATGAAGTGTTCCATACGAAAAAGCTCAAGAAAATGACAAGGACCTCTCCATCTTGCTCCAGTTCTCTCCTCTCCCCAGACACACCCATCTCCCTTGGGTAGAATTCTCCATCCTCTGTGGTGGGAGCAGAAAGGTGGGGGCTAGCTTTCCAAGCAGATTCTTAGGTCTAAATCAGAAAGACTGGGCCAGGGAGTCTGACTTCATTCCTTCCAGAGTAATTATGCCAACTCCCCTCTTTCTTTCTTTCTTTTGCTTTTTTTTCTTTTGGTACTAGAGATTGAACCGAGGGCCTTAGCATGGAGCTACATCTCCAGCCCTTTTTAAATTTTGGAAGCAAGTTCTCCCGAAATCACTAAGTAGCCCAGGCTGGGTTTGAACTTTTGATCTTCCTGCCTCGGCCTCCCAGAGTGCTGGGATTACAGGCGTGTGCAACCATGGCCCGCAGTGGTCATACTTAGGGGAGTGCCCCTCAAGTCTCCGTTGATGGGCTCCTTCTGGTCACACTTGCCTTGTCCTCCCTGGGAGAGCAGCTCTACATCCGTGGCATCATCCAATCTGAGCCATTCCTTAGTGTCCATCTCTAGCCCTTATTTCTCCTCAGCTCAGATCTCTTCTGTCCCAGTGCATGCTGTGGATGAGCCAAGGTGTATCAGAAAAATATCCAAACTCCTCAGACCACTTCCAGTTCTGGACATCCTATTTCTGTTAATGGTGCCCACTTTGTTAAGATCTTGGGCCGTAAATCTGAGCATGTGGCTTCCCTAGTTTTCCCCATCTTTCCTGTATCAGTTACTAAGTGCTGTATAACACATCATCCCCACGCACAGCTGTTTAACCCAACAATGGCTTATTCACGGCTCCTCTCGTTTCACCTGCACTTGCTCACGTGGCTTCACTCGGGAGGCAGTCGGCATAGTTATTACGTGATGCCCAGATGCTCACTTCATACACAAAGGGAATTTGTTTTCTCAGCCCAGCCACACGTTCCTGTGCTGGAAGCAGAGGAAAACCCCGAGGCGGTGGTCATGGTGGTGTCTCTCTCCCAGGCCGTTTGCTTCCCATCCTTTCCTCACACAAATCGCTGTCACTGTGCTGCTCACTAATCTTCAGTGGCTCCCAGTGGCCCACTTTTGTGTTCAGTGAGCTCCGTGACTCATTTCTACCCCTCCAGCCTCCATTCTCACCGAGCACCACCGTGAAGGACGGGCTCTACCCACGGAACAGCTGGCCTCTTTAGCAATGGGCTCACAGCCTTCCGGCAGGAAGTGGTGAGGCAGGTGATTACACAGGGCTTGCAGTGCATGTCTGGGGTCAGACGTGTGCAGATGCTGACCCCACCCCTCCTGAGCCGAATGACAGTGGAGGAGCCACTTCTCTAAGCCTGAGAAAGGGATAATAAAAGCATTTGCTTCACAAGGTTGCTGGGGACAAAGTAGTGCATACAAGGCAAAAGGAATCGGTCATCTGGAGAGCAAGGACCCCATATTTATGTTTAAGGAAATTTAGGGTTGTAGGTTAGAGCAGCAGAGATCAGGTTCTGCACCCTCATTTACAGACTGGGGGAACTGAGGCTGAGGCAGAGTAGATGAGAGGGTGAAATGAGACCAGAGTCTGAGTCAGACTAGCTAAAATCTTAGCTGCTGATTCATCAGGACTGTAGTGTTCTAAGCAGAGTAGGTGGTCAGCAAGCACCCTTTGAAATCAGTATTCCAGATGCGCAGGTTCCTGCAGTCCTGCAGTTCCCCAGGTGCACCAGTAGGTGGAGCTATTCTCCTACCTAGAAGCAAGGTAATCCGGAAATGGGAAAAATTAGGAGTAGGGAATTTTCTACCCCTTCCTTTGGGTCCAGCAAAAATATCTTCTATGTGTTCTTTTAGTATGTTAATCTTTTTTCTAGCTTAAACATATAGAATACAGTTATAATAAATGTTAAAATGTCCTCATCTACAATTATCTGGTTTGGTTTAGATTGATTTTCCCCTCATTATGTGTTGTAACTTCTTGCTTCTTTGTACACCCACTGAGTTTTTGTTGGATGACAGACATTGTGGATTTTAATTTACTGACTGTTGAAAATTTTTGTCTTTTTTTTTTGAGGCAGGATCTCACTATGCATGCAGTTCAGGCTGGTCTTGAATTCATTTTGTAGCCCAGGCTGGCCTCGAACTCACAATGGTCCTATTGCCTCAGCCTCCTGAGTGCTGGGATTACAGACATGCACCGAAAATTTTTATACTCTGACAAATACAGTATTCTTGGTCTTTTTTCCTAGGGCATACCTAATTTACTTGGAAATATTTTTGTCATTTTGGGACTTTATTAAATGAGACTAAAGTGGTATAAGTCTAGACATACTGTAATTTTTCCCTAAAATCAAGGCAAAATCTATGTGGGTATTTCACTACTACATGAATTATAAAATTTTCTACTGTGGTCAGTGGGTTCAAGAACTATTCCCAACCTTGTGTGTGCTCCTGGGATTTTTCTCGTTAATCCTTTGGAATGATTCATTTCCCAGCCTGCTCATATATATGCTCTAATCAGTACTCAGCTAAAGACTAGGAGGACCTGTGCAGAGCCTCTGGGGCTCTTCCCATGTTGCTGTCTGCCCTTTCACACTGTCCTTTACCCTCTCAACCTTCCCACCTCCATCTCCTGGAGGAGGCTGCTGGACTCTGTTTGCTACACTGTCCCTATACCTTGGGCTGGAACCTCCTCCAGTCTTCTGGAGAGATCATAGGATTCACCTCATCTGTTTCTCCTTTCATGGGATCACTGTCCTTCTGTCTGATGTCCATGGCCTCAAAAATCATTGTTTATGTACTTAGGGCATTTGTTGAGTTGTATAATATAGAATGGTAAAATTTATCCTTATTCTATCTCAACAGGAAGTGGAAGTTTTTTTAGGTTTTTACTGCTGTATACACATATATATGTATATATGTTTGTGTGTTATACGTATATGGTATTATACGACACACAGTATTTATATATAAATATGTATTTGCCCTTACATTGTTAAGGAATAAACTTTAAATCTTTAAAAAATAAAATACACAAATATTTTGTATGTATGTTTTGTATATTTATATGAATATACATGAAATGGCATGGAAGACTTTGAAAAGTCTCTCTCTGGCTCCACCCACTCACCCACTCCAACCCTGCCACGATTTTACCACCCTCACACTGTTCCTCATGTGTGTGCACATGTGTGCATGTGTGTGTGTGTCCCTGCATCTCTACTTCAATGGTGTCACACTGCACATACCCTCCTCACTTAATGTACCTTGCAAAGCACTTTTTATCACATATGTGAATCTGATGTCTTCTTTTTATGCTACAGCATATTCGAAAGAATGGATGTTCTGTATTCTATTTAAACACTGTCTACCAAGGGACATTTTGGTGAGTTTACTGAACACAGTTCTGCAGGAATTTTAGCATGCATAGGTGCGTGCATCTGCAGGCAGAATTCCAGAAAGATTGCTGGGTCATTGGATGCCGGCCTACGCTGGTGTTCTAAGCACCAAAAAGATACTTTCTGAAATTCAAAATGGAAAATAAAAGCATCACTGTGGAGTTCAATTTTAGTTTCTAGATGATACAAACGGACATGGATGCCTGATAGGAAAGCCAAACAGCTCCCTCCTGGATTTTCTGTCTTCCCTGTGTGTGAGCAAGTGTGTCCGTTTCACTGGCCTGCTCTGCACTGCTGTGCCACCCCACCCAGGTCTCCCCCACATGGTCCTTGTCAGGCCCCTGCTGCTCCCTTGGTGACTCTGGTCTCTGCAACAGCCACCAAGCTGCAAGATCATTCCACATCAGCACCAGCAGCATTTCCAGCCCTGCACTGCCCAATACTATACAGTAGGTCCTGGACACACAAGGCTATTTTAATTTAAATATTAAAATTAAATGAACTTAGAACTCTGTTCTATGGCGAGCCACACTTCAGGTGTTCTGTAGCCACGTGTGGTTCACAGCTACCAAATCAGGCATGCAGAACAGCACACTTCCACTATTGCTGCAGAAATCCACTAGCAGCAGCAGCAGCACTGCTCTGGCCATTACCTGGTGTCAGCCTCGAGGCCTTCCTCCTGCAGACAGGTGGCTTTTTCCTGGAGTGACCTGGAGTGACTCTTTTTAGCCTAGAGAGTTCAAGACAGACTCGTCAAGGTCCCAGGCAGAGACTGAAGGGAAATAGGGTCCCCAAAACCTTGTCCTGGAGTCTCCAAAGGGTAGGCCTCAGAGTAGAGAGGGAGGATCAGGAATCACACTCCTGGGGACACAGGGCCCCCTCTCCAGTGTCACCAACCTTCTGCCACCTCCCGTGGAGATGGGGATTCTCCCGGCCACGTGGCATTTCTCAAAGAGGAGCTTTTCTTCATCATGGTTTAAGAGAGATGGAAAATCACCTTCTGCTGGTGGGTCAGGGGTCTCCAAGCAGCAGGGCACCTGGAGCATTTTTTAACATCCTACTAGCCAGGCATGGTGGAGCATACCTGTGATCCCAGCTCTTGAGAGGCTGAGGCAGGATGATCGTTGCAAGTTTAAGGCCACATTGGACTACATAGTGAGTTCAAGGCAGCTTGAACTACAAAGAGAGAGCCTGCTTCAAAAAACAAACATTAATCCATAAACACCCTCCTCTTGGTGGGGCTCCTTGTGGAGTGTCCAGTGGAGGGTGATGATGACTGAATGGCATCAAGTAGGTCACCAAATAGTTTCACATCAGACGTTTCTGCTTTTAGGAAGAATTAGGAGTAAAGGCCAATGGCGAGCACTGCTTCTTGGACTAAAGTACAAATTAATCATAAGTCTCAAACCAAGATACTCATTCTAATTTCAAGCCAAAACGGGCTAGTTTTCTAGCTTTGAAAATGAACCAAAAATGCATTTCACTTTTGAGGATGTTGTTTGAATTCAGTTAAAGAGTTCATATAAGAACTAAATCAGTTTGCAAGTAAAAATGCTGCTCGTAGCTTGCACTCTATTTTGCTATTCAACCATGGCTTAGATTACTGTTTTTCTTTACAGCAGGAAGAAAATGCAAACACAAGTATGCATATACATGTATAGTAGCTTGTCAAAAATATGCAGTGTGTGCAAAGTCAAACATCAAAACATTTGAAGTTATTTCTTTCCTCTAAGGAGCCCCACCTTGCTAAGGGGAGTGAAACCGAATTCCTGAATGGTCAACAGGCAGACGAGTTAGTTTCTCTGGTGACTCACTTTCCCTTTGTGGGGACAGACTTCCAGTGTGGTCTGTTCTCACATAGCTCTTTAGGTCCTTTAAGCGAGTGACCTGCAGTGCAGGTGAGTGAGTCGTGGACGCTTCCAGCCTGCGGAGTGCCACCCACCCTGGGAGTCACCCTGAAGCGTGCTTTGGGCCCTTTGGGCTATTTTAAGATTCTTCCCCTCCCCCAGCAGCCTGGTGGAGTAGGTCTGGGGGAGCCCCTCCCCAGCCCTGTCATTCTTGCCATGTTCATGCCTGAACTCCCCCACACCTACAAGCACTGGGGCTCTGGCCAAGGCAAACAAGCAGGGGCAGCCACACCAGAGTGGGACTCCTGGCGTCTGAGTCAGGAGCCAATGCCAGGGCTCCTTCCACCTCTGCCCCTCCCTGCATCCACAGATCAGTCTTTCAGCCACATGGACCTGTCTTTTCTAGAATGTCAAGTGAACGGAATCACAATGCTGCTTCTTGTGCCTTGCTACTTCTAGCTAGCCCCAGGTGTTTGAGATTCAGTCACGTTGCTGTGAATACTACTGCTAAGTAGTTTTCCCGGTAGGGGTGGAACATTCTGATGCCATCTTGGGAGCAAAGAAAGAAAACAACTGACTTTGCCCCAACTGACCCTGAGCTGCTTATGTTTACTGGAATGAACTTCATTGAATTTTCTCCCACTGGGCTAAATTAGGTCTGGAATGAGAGTTAGTTGTTACAGAGGAACAGATACAGTGTCATTTCCGGCATCCCCAAATCTGTGGACTGTGACATTTATGTTCACTTTTTGTTTTTGTTTCAATTTGGACAATATGACCCAAGCTGGCCTGACAGTGAGTGAGGACCCTGCTCAAAGTCCTTCTTTCCAGCCTTTGTGACACCATGGTGAGTCACAGAGGTCCTGCCTGTCCCTAAGAGAAACCTTCTCCCCTTTCCTGGTGATGCCCTTACCCCCAGGCAGAGTTTTGCTCCATTGGGGCTGATGGGGGAGGATGGAGTTTCTTGGAACCACTCAGACTGCCAGTTACTGTGGCCCCAGGAAAGGCTGTGACTCAATCCAGAGGCCGTCTACTGTGCAGGCTCCTGTGATCCAGGAGTGCTACCAACCGTATCACCTGCCCGGGTACCGCTACCTCAACTCATGGAGACCCAGCCTCTTCTACAAGATTTCCACCGCCCAGACCTGTCCCGATGAGTGTCGCAGTGCCCTGCGTCCACCCACCGTCCTGCCTGCACTCCGCTCTGCACTCTTCTGTCGCTACAGCCCCCACGACTGGGACCAGTCCAACCAGCTGCAGCTCCGCGGGGCCGAGGCCTCACGGCTGTGGGCCAGCCGCCTGACAGGTGACTCCATGCGGCTCATGCAGGACAAGGAGCAGCTGACACGCCAGATGCAGGAGGGAACCTCCTGGAACCTGGGCCAGAGGCTGTCGGACATCGGATTCTGGAAGTCCGAGTTATGCCACGAGCTGGACCGGCTGCTGACTGAGAACCGCAGCATGGAGACCGTCAAGAGGCGGCTGGAGTGTGCTGCTGAGGAGGTGAACTGTCCCCTGCAGGTGAGTGCCGTGGCCGAGGCTGTGTCCCTGCTCTGTCTGAACTGATTGAAGAACAAGGTGACCAGCACCCTGCAGGTCTCTGGGTGACATCGTCCTGTGTCATCAGATGCTTAAAGTAAAAATGTAATCTGAGTCAACTCAGGATCTCAGACGAGAGCTTCTCAGGCTGGATCCAGTTTTTCTGTCCTTTGGTTAGGGGTTCATCAAAACACGGCACATGCTGTGCATCCCTGCACATGTATGTACACATGTGTGCATGCCTGTCCACGAGTGTTATAGTCCTCAGAGGACATATTTAAGATAACAGCTTTATTTTTCTCTGTAACACCTGCCATGTTTTAATGTACTCTGATTTATTGATTATTTTTCTATGTCTGCTAGAATATAGGCTTTATCAGGGCAGAGACTTCTGTCTATTTTATCGCTGACATATTCAGGACTGATATTCCACTAACTGCACCTGTTTATGGGTCCTCAATGACCATGTTTGTATGGATTGACTGTTTATACTAAGGTTTTGAATGTGCTTCCAAGTCCAGGGGGTAGTGCGACACATAACAGGCATACAATGAACGTCTGTTGAACAAATGTATACATATCTTAATGTAGACATTCTTTTTATGTTGGCCCCTCAGTACTGGGGGTTGAGCCCAGAACCTTCCCACTGAGCTACTTCTGGAGCCTTTCTAAGGCTTTTATTTTGAGGCAGGATTTCACTAAGTCCTCTCAGTTGCCCAGGATGCACTTAAACTTGCCATCTTCTGTCCTCAATTTCCCAGAGCACTGGGATTATGGGTGTGCGCCATCACTCCCAGCTCATGTGGATATTCCTGACACTTCCTTGGTGCTCTAGGTTCTTTTCATGCCCCAGATGAGCTAGGATAACTGTTGCTGCATGTAACAGATACTGGATGACTGTGGCTTAGTCAAACAGGAGTTTTTCCAACAGACAACAAGAATTCCAGACAGAGGCAAATCAGGCTGCTGCAGCCTCAACTTGATGCCCAGCAGGATCAGGCTCCTATCTTTCTGTTCTGCCATCCATAGCCTGTGGCTTTTGTCCTACTGCTTGCAAGGAGGTTTCATATTTCATATTGCAAGTGCCTGCACGCAAGGAGCCTTTCCCTATTCTCATTCGAGGCAGGAAGTGGGGTGGGGCAAAGGGCAAGCAATGTCAACTGTGTCTGTCTCTGGATATCAGGGAATATGTTTTTCCAGAAGGATGTGTTTCCCTTTTTAGCTCATTTGCAAGAACTCACAGGGGCTCCCTGGCTGCAGAGGGGTTTGGGTAAGCAATTGTTTTTCTCTGCATTCTGGAGAAGGCCCTGGAAGGAGTTGAATGGACATTGGGTAGAAACCTAGTGATGTCTGCCTCGTCCTGTGGGAACTAATCTTGGCCACATGGGAGAAGGCTGTCCCTGGAGTGTGTGGGGGATTCAAGACCTCCTGCCTGGAATCCCACTCAAACTGATTCTGCTCCACCTCGTGTGGAGACTTTGGTAGGGAGAGTCCTGCTTCCAGATCTCCAGGGAGCCATGGCCTCAGTTCCCATCACTGTGGGATTCCCAAACCCACGGGGAAGGGAATCCATGGTTTTCCTCCCTCCCTCAGTGTCTCTTGGCAGGGGAAGGGGAGGGCTGCTTCTCAGATCCTAGCAGCAGCAGCAGCAGCAGCACCTAAAACAGATTGCTCTCCCCTCCCACTCTCTTCTCACTCCCCCAGCCTGTCTGGAAAGCCCAGCTCTGCCTGGTCACATGTGGCCTCCTTTCATCAGCCACATGGTGGCATGGAGACCAGAGACATCTCAGTTCTACCCACTTCCCTCCTCTCCTAGGCTTTCTCCTCGTCCAAGTGCCTCTTGCTGGACACTGATGACCACCTCTTCCCCAGGCTGCCAACTTCTGCTCTTTCCAACCCACCCTCAACAGCAAGGGTGATTTTGAACATCAAATCTGCCCTCGACATTCCCACACTGGCTCAATGGCTTCCCTGAATTTAGCAACTTAATTTGTGAATTCCTCTATCCCTTCCCTGTAATCCTCTCTGTGCTACATTGCTCTAGCCCCACTTTCCCCACTCCAATCCCAGCACTTTCTGCTACTCCTCCACTGACTCCAGAGCCTTTGCACCTGTACTTCCCCTTCCAGTTCCTTATCACCACACATCTCTTGCAACTGTGCTGCTTATGATTCAAGTCTCAGTCTGTCTCCTACCCAGAGAAATCCTCCCTGACCACCCTGCTGGTTACTCCCTGCCTACATACAGAATCGTGATTATTTTCATTGCACCCCTTTTCACAGAAATGACCATGTTTCTTTAAATGTGTTCTTTCCTCTCTGTTGGAATGCAGGCTGCAGGAGAGCAGGCTTCATTGCGTACCCCCAGCACTGCCCTCAAGCGCACCTCAGGGGAAGAGCTCCAAGGCTCTTGGAGACAGTCAGAGAATCCCTCTTGAGGTCCCAGATGCATCTGCCTCCTGACATCCCTAGCTTCCCTCCTTGCCCCATTCCTCTTTGTGATGTCACAGGCTGGTGGCCAATCACCATTCTTCCTGAGCCTCCTGTTGCAAGCAGAGCAGGCCTTTCTCCTGCTGCCTCTCCGGTCCTGCTCAGGTCCCTACCAGTGTTGGAAGCCCAGTTTGCCTGGCTCTCACTGTGCCCTGACCACTTTCCAAAGCTCTCTTGCTGTCCAGAGATCTCCAAAGCGGAACTTCCACATATATCCACTGGGAAGATTTTTGAACGGGGGCAGGGGGCAGCTTTGCACTTAGCAAGCTGATGCAAACTGCACAGTAAATCTGAGATGTGCACACCCATCTTGCCTCCATCTGCAGATGAGGAAATGGAGGGTCAGAGAGGTTAAGTGAGCTGCCTACAGGCACACAATAGGAGGTTTGAATCCAGGAGACAGGCAACATGGGGGATAGTAGCTGACCCTGTCTCATCTGAAATTACAGGGGAGTTTTGCTGTATTTATCACAATTTAGGAAGGCTTGGACAGTTTGTGGAGATTATAGGAAGGAGTGTTGGTTTCCAGTGCCAGTCATAACTGGTCCCCAGAACAGTGCCTTATCGCACTTCTCCACATGGCCTGCATCTCCCAGTGCACTGGCCAGGGCATTTTACAGCCCCCGCCAGGGGTGTGGGGGAGGCAGAAGCACAACTAAGTGCAGGGATGAGGCCACAGCTAGCAGCTAGAGAAAAGGGCAGGTATGGCAAAGGTAGACCTGAGCCCCTTGTGTTCAGGACCCACATGCAGCTACAGAGAGAACAGACACCTTTGCACTGCTTCCTACAGGTGGCCCTGGAGTGTCTGTACCATCGGGAGAAAAGGATCGGGATTGACTTGGTCCATGACAATGTGGAAAAGAATCTTATCCAGGTAAAGTGTCTCCTGGGCCTGTCCCATCCCCCGAGAGAAGGGGAGGAAGGGCCAGCTTCTGAGAGTGGTCCCAACATACCCAGTGGGGCACAGAACTACACATGTCACTCTATGGAAAGTTAGGGCTCAGAAAACATGGTAGATGGGAGCCTGGGGGGCAGTTAGGAACAGGGAGAAATGGAGTTATTTGACCTTTAGTTCTGTCATTTCCGAAATGGGCATAATAATGATACTACCATCAACAATAATAAAAGCCATCGACCATACCACTTTGTATGCACTGTTTAATTTTACATGTATACCTACTACGTGCCAGATATATCTATGTATATAATGTCTATTTGGCACATAGTAGGTGCTGAATTTGTGTTTTAATCTGGAAGTGTATAAAGAGAAATGAAAGTAGAGCAAAGGGTGTGGAGACTCCACGACTGGCACTTAGCTGTGTTGCCCTGAGATTCATGGACTGAGAAGAGATGCAGACCCCAGCCTTTCACCTGGTGGGGTCAAGGTTGGGCAGGGGAGGAGAGGGTTGAAGGCTCTGACCTGCGGGTTTCTGACCTATGTCTTTTCTTTCTGATGTTTTTCATTTCAGGAAGTAGATTTGCTAAAATGTTGCCAAGAACGGATGAGACAGTTAGCTCAAAGAGTTGATATCCAGATGCGGTAATGGATTCTTTCTGTCGCGGCCCCTTGGGGTTTGTTTTGTGACTTCTGGGTTTTCAGGAGTAAGCCAGATGGGCCCACTTGTCTCGGGGTGGTTCCTTTGCCAGTGGTGTGCTGCTAAATATTTTACAGCCAGCTCGCAGGAAAAACAAACAACAGTCCTAACATGGAGGATTTGTGGATTTCTGTGATGCAAATGCTACCACAGAGGCTGAGCTCAGGGTACCAAAAAGATGTTCTTGAGATGGGCCCAAGTGACTCCCGTGAGCAGCATGTCACTGGTTTCTCTTGGTTGTCACAAGGGCCCGGCCAAAGGCACTGGTCCTTCCCGGGGTCCCTCTTAGTCTATGGCTTCCTCTGGCAAGTTCTGGAGAAATGGTCAAGGGTGGGTGGCATCCGGCAACAGAGTGAGGGACCAGGGACCAGAGAGGAGCTGGCGGACGCCTTGAGCTAGGAGTCTTCAAAAGGAATCAGCTTTTTGTTCTTGGAAGATGATGTAAGCAGTATCACGGCAAGCCAGGGGGCCCCTCTTGTAATTAAAGGGAGGACTGAGTTTTATGGGGCTTGGGGCCCTTAGCTCCCCAGAGGTGGCCTCCCCACCTGGCCCTGCAGCTGCGCACACCTTTAACTCTCTCAGGGCACGCTGCTCTGCTGGTTTTCCCTCTTCACTGCCTCTATATGGGCAGTGAGGGATGGGGGTGGGGGCTGCTGGAGACTGCCAGGGCTCCCTTTCCCGCTGGGTGGTGGGCAGGGGCAGCCTGGTGTGCTGCAGAGGGCCTGGGCAGCATGCAGACAGGTGCTGGGAGCTGGAGTCCTTGCTGGCTTGGTCCAGAAACAGCAGTCACCTCCTCCTCCAGGGCCCTTCCACTCTCCTGGGGGCTCAGAACTGGAGGTCAGGGATAAAATGAGTCGCCATGATAAGACAAGGAAAGACACTGCAGAAAAGCCACTGAATACCACATAGCCTGGTCAAGGGTAGGCAAGTTGAGGTGACCAAAAGGACATCAGAGGTGGAGGGGTGCAGGGAAGATTCACATACAAAGTGCCTGTGGAAAGGCAAAGAGCAGTAGTGGTGGTATGGCTCAGTGCCAGACACTTGCCTGGCATCAGGAGACCCTGGGTTCTATCACCATGCCGGGGGAGAAAAAGACAAAAGCAGGACTGAGTTCAGTTATTCATGGGTCATGAGTTTTGGCCATTCCACCCTCTACAATTGGTTTATTTGAAAAGTAGCGGGGGTATGGCTCAATGGTGGAGCACTTGCCTAGCATGCACAAGGCCCTGAATTCAAACCCCAGCACTACAAAACAAACAAGCAACCCCCAAACCAAAAAGCTAAACAAAAACAAGTATCTTCAATACTTATATTTAAACAGGGAAGTTTAGCAAAGGGAAAGCTTTGAGGAGGCCCAGTGTTTTTATGTTACTGTTTTTTTTTCTTGCACTTAATTTTTAAGTCTTTACTTTTCAGTTGGTAAAAAGTATATTTATCATGCATACCAGAATGTTTTTGAGATATCTATACACTGTAGAAAGGTTAAATTAAGATAATTAGCATATATATTACCTCACATACTTTTTTTCTCTTAAAATCTACAGCAGATGGTTTTTAAGAATACAGTACATTATTATTAACTATGTCACTACATTGTTGCAATAGTTGTCTTTTGAATTTGCTTCTTCTAACTGAATTTTGTGTCCTTTGACCAACATCAACCCTGCTCCCAGCCGCTGGTAGCCACCATTCTACTCTCTGCTTCTATGGATTAAATTTTTTAAGATTCCACGTATAATTGAGCCCCTGTGGTATCTACCTGCACCTGGATTATTTCACTTAGCACCATGTGTCCTCTGGTTCCACTGATGCTGTCTCAAAGGACAGGATCTCATTTGAGGGCTCTTAGGTTGACTCCACATCTTAGCTATTGTGAGCAATGTTCCAAGCAGCATGGGATGCCGACATCCCTTGAACATTCCGATTCCACTTCCTTTGGATATGTACCCAGCAGTGGGACTGCTGGATCATGTAGTAGGTCTATTTTTAAGTTCTTGAGGAACTTCCACACTCTTTTGCATAAAGGTTGCACTAATTTACATCCCCACCAACAGGGTACAAAGGTTCCCCGTTCTCCACACCCTCACTAACACTTGTCATCTTTCATCTGTTTGATAATAGCCATTCTAACAGTTATGAGGACTTAATTTACATTTCTCTGGTAAGATGCTGAGTATTGTTTCACAAGTCTTTGGCCATTTGTATGTCTTCCTTCGATAAATGTCTATGAAGACCCTTTGCCATTTATAGAATCAGGCTATTTTCTTGCTATTGAGTTGAGTTCCTTATATGTTTCTGGATATTAACCCTTTATAAGGTGTGTAGTTCACAAGTATTCTCTCCTATTCCTTGGGTTTTCTCTTTGCTCTGTTGGTTTATTTCTTTGGTATCCAGAAAATTTTTGTTTGATGCAATCCCATTTGTCTAGTTTTGCTTTTATTGCTTGTGCTGTCACACACACACACACACACACACACATACACACACACACACAGAGGCACACAGGCAGCCATACACAATTCAGACCAGTGCTGTGATTTCCCCCACATTTTTGTCTAGTAGCTTTACGAGAAGCACAGATCTTATGTCTAAGTCTTTAGTCCATTTTGTGGTGATTTTTCGTATATGATGTGAGGTAGGGACCCAATTTCATTCTTGTGCACGTGGATAACTGGTTGTGAAACTGTTTATTGAAGAGACTGTCCTTTTCCCATTGTGTGTTCTTGGTCCCTTTGTTTAAAATCAACTGACCATAAATTAATCAGTTTATTTCTGGACTGTCTATTCTGTTCTTTCTTGCCCTTAATTCTGTGATCTCCTACTTATGGCAAGATGCACTGAATTCCCATTTGTGGCTGACACAGGGACACTAACCCAGGTAGTGCTAGGAGGACATCGAGGCTGAGGCTTGGGAAAGAGGACAGTTTGAGCTGGTGTGGGCAAAGTGAGCAAAAGGCCGGACTTGAACCTGGGGAGCTGAACCCTGGGAAAGTGCTGGAAAAGACTGTGGTGAGGAGCCCCATGTGTGACCCCAGACAATGGAACAGGAGCTGGAAAGATGGAGACTGATGGAGACTGGGACACAGAGAATGAGCACTGGTATTCCGAGGGACACAGAGACGCAGAAAGACAGACAGAGATAGGAGCAGAGAGGGGGACAGAGACGGACATGCCAGACAGGAAGAAATCAAGGGTGAGACAGAAAACAAGGAGCTAGAGAGGAGCAATGTGGAGAAAGAGGAAAGGGAAGGTGATGCCGGGGTAGGGACAGCGGGAAGAGCAATGGAGATAGAGGGTAAAGCGGGGGCAAGGAAGGCAGAGAAGGGACAGAAGCTGAGCCCTCCAGGACAGAGGCAGTTTGTTTTGGGACACTGGCCTGTTACTGAGAGAGCACACCTGTCACCTCCAGGGAGGCAGTTCAAGCTGCTGGAAAGACTGAGATTATTCTAATTAACCTGGAACTTCAGCAGCTCATTAGCTGTCAGGCTCAGTGTGTCCTCCCTCCTGGGGCAGCTCCGCTGCTGTCCTGTGCAGGTGGCCGGCCTTAAACCAGCGGGTGCTGGGCTGCTGGGCTGCTGGCTGGGGGCACTGCCTAAGGCCCACATCTGGGGAGGGCTGTGTCCTCACCGTGCTAGGCGCCCCAGCGGAGCAGAAAGGCTCTTCCTGACTCTGGAGGAGCCCAGCTGCGGCCTTCCTGGTGGGCCGACCCAGGGTGAGCTTGGCACTGGCTGGACCCTCCATCTTTTGCCAAGTAGGGGAGATGGGGGCGGGCTGCTCTTCCTCCCCAGACCTCATTAGCAAGGACCGGCCAGCTGGAGCAGCTGGCCTGGAGGCCCCAGGTTATCAGCTTAATGCGCTGACATGTTTGCTGTTCACATGCTGGTCTTCTTCACTTTCCAGTTCATTAGCCAGGACGGGGCCTATTTTCTCCACAGCTCTGCCAATTTGGAAAGCCTGAAGGCCAGGGCCAGACGGTTCCTCCTGCCCTGACATGACCTCCTGCAGATCCTGATAGGTGGAACCCACGGTCAGGGGCTTATTTTCTTGCTCCTGATTGCCCGATACCCCTCAACAGCAGCCAGATATCCACAGCAAGGAAAACAAGAAACCAGGGGAGAAGCAACTAGAGAAGAAAGGAGAGACACAGACATAGAAGCCCTGAGATGGAGAAAAAGCAAGAGCAAAGAGGCTGAGACAAAGGTTTGAGAGCCAGACACGGAGGGAGAGGCAGAGACTGAGGAAAGGCAGAGAGGCCTTCTATAAATATAGTTAGTATTTTCTGTTAAAGACAAGAATATAAAGTTTCCCTGTGAAACACATTTATCTGTATTTGAAAAAACAAAAATAGGCCGGGGATTGTGGCACACACCTGTAATCCCGGCACTTGGGAGGCCGAGGTAGGAGGATCCCGGCGAATTCGAAGCCAGCCGGGGCTACAACGTGAGTTCAAGACCAGCCTGCACTACAAAGTGCAAAGTGAGATCCTGTTTCAAAAAAAAAAGAAAAAAGAAGAAAAAGAAAAAGAAAAAGAGTAAATAATGGTACAGATACTTTCCTATTTGTCAAGAATCGTGAATGTGACTGTCAAAAGTCTAGAGTTTGGCGAATAGTGGCCTTGTTAAATATTGTAGCTAAGATTTCTGCGAGCTACGCCCGAGCCCCGCCCTGCCCCGCCCCCTGCCCTCCTCGCCCCACCCCTCCTTTCTGTCTTCAACTCTGCCTCTCCGTAGTCCCAGACCCCGCCCAGCTCTGACCCCTCCCAACCCCCTCCTCCTCTCAGCCCCAGCTGTACCCAGTCCCTGACTCCACCTGCCTTCAGGAGTGCTTTACTCAAACCAAAAACCTATTTCTAGCCTCTCAGCTTTTGCACTATGATGTCTTCAGCACGGAATTCTCATTCCCCCACGCAACTTTGTTCGTAATATGTGTTATGAAAAACCCACTTCAGATGCCTCCTCAGGAAGCCCTCCTGGATTACTCTCTCACTCTGTGCCACTTTCCATTCTTTAAACAGTTCTACTATTTCCATTCTGTACTATATTTACTTTTGCTGCATTTTTTATACAAATCTGAGTAACTTGAAGGTAGTGACTGGGTCTTATTTCTCTCTCATCCCTTTGCTCAGTCCAGACGCATTCATGATAGATTTGTGAAATGATTTGACTCGATGCAAGGTTCACTCAGAGTGCGAATTCCTGTTCTCTATATTGGGTCAGCACACAGTTGAGGGACAAATGCGGCCCACCATCCGTGTTTGTAAATAAAGTTTTATAGGAACAAAGCTGTGCCCTTGCAGGATCATCTATGGCTATCTGTGTGCACCCTGAGCCATTGCAGCAGAGACCATATGACACACAAGGCCTGCTGTATTGACTACGTGGCCGTCTGCAGTAGATGCTTACACACACACACACACACACACACACACACACACACACACATCCGTGCTAAAAGACAGCAGGTCTGTCTGCACTGCAGAAGGCGTGTGAGTGCAGGTGCCTCTGGGTGCATGGTAGGGAGGTTGAAGTGGGAAGCAGTTGAGAAGCCCTGGGGTGGGCAGAGCACCTTCCCAGGAACCCAGGGACCAGGCTTGCAGCCCTGCCTCTGCACCCACCTGCTGTGTGAGCTCAGGCCAGGGGTGGGTTAGCTACATAAATCCTTCCTCCCTGCAGGGATAACCGAGATGCTCAGCACGCTCTGGAGAGGGACCTGGAGGACAAAAACTCAGCCCAGTTCATCGATGAGAAGTGCTTTAACCTGAGAAACACGTCGGACTGCATCAGCTACTTCCATGGCGTGGAGAAAGTTGATGGCACGTAAGCACCAGGCGCTCTGCCCAAAGGGAGTAAGGGCTCCCGCTTCTGCCAAGGAGTGGCAAAGGGTGTCACAGGCCAGCCAAGTGAGAGGCAGTGTGGCTGAACGGGTGCCCTCAGTTGCAGGCAACAAAATCCACATCTGGCCAACTTAGGACCACACGGAATGAATTCACCTGAAAAGCGGGGGTACCACAGACTTAAGGGAAGGCTAGAAGGGAGGGTTCCATCTGGCAGTTTGGACAGTCTAGGGAGTGGGAGCTGGTCAACCATGTTGTCATGGCCACTGTCTTTCCCTCCTTGGTCTACTTTGCTCAGGACCCAAATTCCAGAAAAGAAAGAATATGTGACTGGCTTAGTGAGGGTCACGTGGCCACAGCATCTAGCCGGCGCCTGCTGGCACACTTCCATTGACAGTTCCACCAAACAGATTCCAAAGCAAGATGGCTACAACAGAAGGAGCAGGAATTCCAGCTGGGCGGGGACAGGCTGTGGTGCTGGGCGGGGTAAGAGAGCGGATGTTGTAGCCAGGGTGCCTAGCTTCAAATCCCAGCCCCACACCAACACTGTGACACGTTATTTAGTGTCTTTGGACTGTCTGCATGTGTACCACTGGAAGGAGAATGGCACCCATTTCCAGTGCTTCGAGTGTGAAAAGGGGGCACGTGCAGTAGGAAGCGCAGAGCCTGCTGTAGAATAGTAACAGTGAACGCTTACGGAGTGCTTGCTGTGTGGCCTCATTTGCTTGTACTGGCAGCCGTGAGCTGGGCCTCGTGTGTGTCTGGCGCTCTCAGGGGCATGTCACCTAATCATACGGGGCATGCAGAGCTAAGATGTGGCGTAATGGGGGACAAAGAAAGGGAGAGAGAAACAGACACAGATAGACCCTGGGGTGGGCCGAGGGGTGAGTCTATCGCACTCCACCTCCACTCACTCGTTTTCATCTGTCACACGCACATAGCATCATGTTTGGTTCGTGTGTGTATACAATAAATATTTGTCGAATAAAAGAATGACTGAAAGGTGGGGGCTGGGGATTTAGTTCAGCGGCACAGCACCTGCCTGGCAAGCGCAAGGTCGTGAGTTCGATTCCTAGTACTGGAAAAAAAAAAAAAAAGACTGAAAGGAATAAGGGAGGGAAGGAGTAGGGCCAGAGGCAGGGAGGGAGGAGAGAAAGGAAGGAAAGAATGAGGTTCTCAAAGGGCAGTTTCTTTGGCCCAAACCTGGAGTCACTCAGTTTCCGGATGTGAGCAAATGTGGAATGTCAAGATGGCCCTTGGGGGTTTCCGGGAGTGAGGACTCCTCTTCCGACAGGGCTGAATCCCCCCAGGGCACTAGCAAGGGGAGCAAGACTTTGGGGGCTCCACTCTCTGTAGCTGCCCATCCGCACAGGGAGCCCAGGGGTCTCTCTTCCCAAACAGATGCCTTCCCAAAAACCTGGTGGCAGGTTTTTGGCTGCCACCTTTTTACTGGCAGAGCCCCATTTCCACGGCCGTGAGGGGCTGCTACTTCCTGTCCCTCATCCAGCTGCAAAGTGAGAGCTGTTGCTCCTGTGACTAATTGCTCCCCAGATACGCTAGCTCGGGACTCTGTATGTAAGGTTTTCTTTTGTATTTATTTATTTATTTTTTATTGTTGTGATGCTTCGGATGGAACCCGGGATTTCTCACACTGCTGGGCGAGTGCTCTACCACTGAGCTATATCCTCAGACCATGCTTGGGGTTTTCTTGGAGCAAGACCATGTCTGGGTGGATTAGAGGGTATTTGGCGACTGTCTGGATTGCAGGGTCTGTGTTCGCTGTAGTTCTCACTGCCATGAATTAACCGGTGATTATGTTGGTGACAGTAGAGGCCTTTAGCCGATGTTTTCTGTGTGCCAGACACTGTGTTTAGAGCTTTACATGCTGTACCTCATGGATAATAATCATCCATCGAGTGCTTGTGTGTCTGCTGCCTTGACAGGGACTTCACATTTAGTCAGCAGCCTTGGGGTAGGTACCATAGTCATCCCTATTTTCAGTGAGGAACCTAAGGCTCAGAAAGGTAAAGTGACTGGCTTAAGCTCACACAGCAAGGGGCAGAGCCATAATCTGAGCCCATACTGGACTATGGGCCTGTGTTTTCTTTGTTTGTTTTGTTTTATTTTTTGTCTTTTTGAGACACAGTTGGCTGGCCCTGCATTCACTTTGTAGCCCGGGCTGGCCTTGAACTCACAGCAATCCTTTTGCCTCAGCCTCCCAAGTGCTGGGATTATAAGTGTGCGCCACCATACCCAGCTTGGCCTATGTGTTTTATCAGTGGGGTCTTCGGACCTCTCTAGCAAACTCTGCTGTCCCTTAGGTCTTTAGAGGACATGGGCTCCAGGAAGGCGCATCCCCCCCCCGCTGAGGCACACTGTCTTGGAGGAGACAAGCACCCTGTGGCAAATTCCCCCAAGGAGAATGTGATGAAGTGGGCTCTTTTCCCTAGGGAGCTCAGCTGTCTGCTCCTGGGGAGGCAAAGGCTTAGAGCCTGGGTTCGTTCTGCGAACGTCCCACTCAGCAGTGGTACAGAGTCCTGGAGTGCATGCTCCCCTCTGCCCATCCTCCTGGTTTGGTGTTCCGGGGATGATGAGTAGCTGCGTGACCTTGACCGAGACCCTTCTCTGTGAGCCTCCGCTCATAGCTGGGGAAAGTTCGGCCCCAGGTGCAGTGCCCCCTCCTGCCTTGGAAGCCCCAGACACACGCCTGTTGTTTGAGTTTGACTCCTGCAAAAAACGAGGCAAAGCAGTCACACACCCGAGTGACTTAAAATTCTCACCATACAGCTGAAGTGAGCCTTAAAATGTCTGAAGATATACATAGTTCAGACTTCAGAGAATTGGGTTTCTTTTTCCCTGCTGCCTGAGAATAAAAATCTGCTTTATTTAAGAACTGCAGTTTTCTCTATGCAAGAAAAGACCTTGAGAAGTTATGCAGTCTGGTTTACCCAGGAGAGGAGCTCAATCAGGGCAATGGTGTCCCTCCTGGAAGGCTTCCTGGAGGAGGAGCCCCAAAAAGGATCCCTTGCTTGCTCTCTGTGAGGATTTCTACACTCTGCCAGGAAGGACTTGGTGTTGTTTAAACTGAGTGAGTCCTTATGGGTCATCACCTCTGAGAACCCTGCCTGCCTGCCCTTGTGATGCAGCCTGTGTTGTTTCCACTCATCCCAGCTCCATTCTCCAGCAGCCAGAAGATGGGGACCTCCTAGGGGCTGTGCTCCACACTGGCTGCTTCTCTCCTCATGCTCGTGTGTCACCTGCTGCTCCCTCTCCTCTTGCCCTTCTCAGCTGGACCAATGACAGCATCACACGTGTTTGAATCCATGAGCATCTTAGCTCCCATCTAAGGGTGCTGGGTCCCATGCACCAGGGCAGCTCTAAGACCCCTGTGGAAGCCTGACACCAGAAATAGTCCCCAACCCTATACAATATATACATCATTTCCCCAATGCATACATGATTTGTATGACAACATTTAGTTTATAAATGGCACAGGAAGAGATTAACTACAATAACTACTAAAACAGTAGGATAATTATAACATGATACTGTAATACATTTTATTTAAAATTTACGAATTGTTTATGTTTGGAATTTTCCATATAATAGTTTTGGACCTCAGTTGAATTCAGGTTATTGAAACAGCAGAAAACAAAACCATGGGGAAGGGACACTGCTGTACTTCAGCCACTCCCTTTTACCATGCCGGGGACACAGAGCGCCCCCAAACATCTGTAGTGCGCTCTTCCAGGTCCCTGCGGTGCATGAGCTCAGCGTGGAAACACCTGTGTATTATCCTCTTACTCTGGATGTTAACCACCCTGGGGTGACTAACAGGGGTGTTTCTGGTCTTGCTCACGGCTCTATCCCAAGTGCCTAGGACCATGCTTGGCCTGAGGTGGGTGTGTAAACCATACTATCAGGGCAGGCTGGGGGTGTAGCTCAGTGTGAGTGTTTGCCTATACTGCATGAGGACCTGGGTTCCATCCCCAGCACCACAAAACAACGATGACAACATGCCACTACTACTCCCAAGAACAAAACCCACATGGGTTGGGTGAATAAGGCGGTGAGAGTAGCATGGCCACATGCGTATCGGTGGTTGGGGCGACTGAGCCACTTCTTGGCCTGGCAGTGTCTTGGTGGCAGAGTAGGGGAGGAAGAGCACCCTGAGGAGTCCCTCCTCTCCTGCCAACTCAATGAGTGCTCTTCTGAAAGTCACCCAGCCCTTCTAGGCGCATTTGCTGCCCCATGAAGGGATTGGATCAGGGCAGTTGTCCTTAACAGGGGGTGTGTCCCCCCACCTTCCCCAGGGGATATTCAACAATGTCTGGAGATACTGAGGTTGTCACAGGTGGGTAGGGGAGCTACTGGCACCTAGTGGGCAGAGCAGGGGTGCTGCTGAGGATCCTACAGTGCATAGGACGGTCCCCCACAATAGAGGATTTCCTGACCCAAAGGCTAAGGTCAAGAAGCTCCAGATCTGGAGATCTCTAAGGCCTGTCACAGCTTTCTTGGCTCCTCACCTGTGGTACACTTGCCCTTGGACCTTTTGCAGGGTCTCTGTGCCTGAGACCTGGGCCAAGTTCAGCAACGACAACATCAAGCACTCGCAGAACATGCGCGCCAACTCCATCCGGCTGCGGGAGGAGGCCGAGCACCTCTTTGAGAACCTGTCGGATCAGATGTGGAAGCAGTTCACAGACACCAATCTGGCTTTCAACACACGTATCTCTGAGGAGACAGATGTGAAGAATAAACTCCAGACACAACTGGCTAAGGTGAGCAAGTGCCATGGGGTACTGGTGTCCCCTTACTAAGTCCTCACCTTGCTCCCATGGGCCTTAGCAGCACTTCATTGCTCTGCTTTCCTGAGCTGAAATCGTCCTGTTCATCCCAAGGTCTGTGATCATGTCTACCCCAAAAGGGGTCAGGGACTGTGACCCTTCTTGGGGGATTCATGCTTCCCTTGCTCAGGGATGATGGAGCTTGAAGGTTGGCTTGCTGTTGCCATGACACCCAGGAAGCTGCCGACACCCTTTATTCTCCATCTGAGGACCATGTGGCTCCATCTGACCCAAGAGAGTACGTCCCCACTGACCACAGCAGATCTCTGCCCGTTCCAGCCTCCGCAAACTTCTGCAGTCCTTCTCTGCATGGGCTTTGTCCTCCCTACTCAACACAAATGCAGAGTCTGACCTGGCTGCCAGAGGCTGTGCGGGGCTTTAGAAACCAAAGGAGCCATGTGAACATGGTCCCTGTGCATAGCTGACTTACATTTTGGCTGGGGAGCAGCCATGGCTATGGAATTTGCTCAGAAGGGACTTGGGGGTACAGTCTGGCTGGAGGAGGATGGGTCCCATCTGGGAAGCAGCCTTGAGTCTGTATTTGCAAACTGTCGCTCTTCTGATTGTGTGCATGGAGCTGAGGCTTTGTGGGCTGTAGACAAGGTTGGGTGGAAATTAGAGGGGAAGTTTATGCCCACACACATCTGCCAGTGTTGGGCCTGCACGTGCAGGAGGCAGACACAACAGAAGTGTCTATCAAATACCTGCAAGGCGTAACTGGTGTGATGAAGGGAGGAGCAAGGGGCCGAGGCAGTTGTTCCTGGGGCTTGTGCCAGTGGAGTAGGCAGGTGGGGATGTTTCCACCAAGAGCAGATTGATAGGAGGGAGGCAGCCACAGGAGGAGGGAATGTATTCCAATCTGCAATGGAGTCTGGAGTGCAGCTGGAGGAAGTGACAGTCTCAGATCATCTGGCCGTAGTAGGTCCTCATGAAGTGTTTGGAGTTTTGTTGGAGGCAGTGGGGAGACTTTAAAGGGCTTTTAGGGGAAAGTGTTGGGATTCAGTTTCATCCTTGGGTTGATCTGTTTTCCTCCTGGGTAGAGGAAGTTTGCAGGGGTCAATTCCCACTGAGGGGGTAGCATCAGATGGGACAAGGAAAGGGGAGACTCGAGACTTCCTGAGAAGGCAGAGTTCGCAAGTGTGCCCTCCTGCCAGTCTTTGCAGTCACTTCCTGTGCATCCTCTGGAACAGACGTAGCAAACATTTTGGTAATAGGGGCAGACAGTGGATATTTTCAGCCTTGCAGGCCATGTGGTTGCCATTGCAGTGACTCAGTTCCACAGATGTATCACAGAAGCAACTGTAGACGTTACGTACACAGAGTGTGGCTGTATTCTGATAAAACTTCGTTTACAGAACCAGGAAATGGGTCAGATTTTGTCCATCCTTGCTCTGGAACTTAGTTCACAAGTCACTTTCTCCAAGAGTCCTTCTTGACCCCTGTAGTTTATTCACACTCACCACCTCTGGGCGGCTACTGCATCCTCGCACTGTGTTTCTCACCCGGGCCCTGGTATTGTCAGAAGTGTGGATTCTGAGCCAGACTTCTTGTGTGCAAATCCTCTGTACCCTGGACAACTTTCTTAACCTCTCTGTGCCTCAGTCTTTTATTTGTAGATGTGGGGGTGAGGACAAATCTCACGTCAGGGCTGCCAGGAGTTTGATTGGACCTGGTGCACAATAAGCACCGTGTCCCTGCCAGTGGCTGACTTTACTGTTTTTGTGGACTCACACATTTGAGCTCTTCGGAGCACCCAGATTCAACCCTGCACCCGGATGCTGAGCACACTGCCTGGCTCTCCCAAAACCTTTGCGCAGTGAATGAAGGGAATCTACAATGCTGAGTTTTGTGCTGATGTTTCAAAAGAGACATATGAGTTGATGAGATGCTTTTAATGTCACATTTCTTTTATGTGTGTGAAAAAGCATTTTTACTAAAATATGTATTGCATGAAATTTAGCATTTAACCACTTTAAAAAAGTGTACAGTCCAGTAGTGTTAAGTGTATCCTCACATTGTTGTGCAACCATTGCCGCTATCTATCTCCAGAGCTTTCTTGATCTTCCCAAATTGAAACTCCTTGCCCACTAACAGCAATTCCTCTTTATCTCCTTCAGTTCTGCTTCCTGCTTCTGTGAATTTGGCTGCTCTAGGTACCTCATGAAGTGCAATCACAGGGTATTTGTCTTTTTAGGACTGGCTTGTTTCACTTAGCATAATGTCTTCAAGATCCACACACTTGTGTCAGAATTCCCTTCATAAAGGCAGAATAATATCCACTGGCTGCATACGCCATGTTTTGTGTATCTGCTCATCCATCTGTGGGCAATTAGGCAGCTTCCACATTTTGGCTTTCTTTCGTGGGGCATTTCATACGGTGGAACAAATGCAATTCACTGTCGAGCTCATTGCATGGAACAGTTTGCAGTGTGAGGATGCCTGGAAGGCTCCTCATGTTGTGCGGGGCTTAACTACTTTCTCATCTGTGAGACAGGGCATAAGAATTCCTACCTGTAACATTCTGTTCTTGTGAGCATTGATGAGTTGATATCTTGGTATTTTTAGAATAGTGTTTGTCGGAAGGTAACTGTAAATATTAATATTGTTATCAGTGGAGAATATAAAGGGCCTCTTGGGTGGAGGTAGTTGAGCAAAACCTTTTCCCTTTCAAAATTTCTCCAGGGAAGTTTTGAGTTTTACTAACAGCCTCATCACTGCTGATCAGAGGGTTTCTGCCGCCTCATAGATTTTTATTAATAGTCATTACTTAACACCAGCTGCTTTGCAACAATCCGCACCATATGGAAGACATCAAACCCCCGTATGACACCACTGACATTTACCTGAGCAACGATTTGTCTTTTGGTTGGTGACTGTCTCACATAGTGTTTTTCTAGGATATAATAAAAGGTGGTGCAGTGAAGATTATACCATTTCACCTTTCAGTAGCTTGCTTTGGCTAGAGGATTTGAAATGCTCTTTTAAATTTTTGTATGTTTCAGTTGAACTCAGCTGATGCCTTTCGGCAAGAGGTGTTTCTGGAAAATTCCAGGCACCCATCACTTAAGCAGCAAAGGAGCAGTTTCCCAAGTGGTCATAGGAACCCATTTAGTAAGGTCAGATCTACATAGCTCCACCTGTGGGGAGTAGTTCGAGCTGTGGAGTTTCATCCCTAAGGCCATTTCCCAGCTCTAGAAAATGCCCTGGTGCCTCATCCCCTCAGGAGCACTTTGAGGCTTTGGGGTATCTCCCAGTTGTACAGGTCATGGCGGGAATGGAGGCTGCAGACTTCCGACTGCAGCAGGTGAGGACCACGGATGGGACAAACTGAGAGTCAGAGTCCTGGGGAGCTCCGGATAAACCCTGCTACATCCAGTGGCCCAACTGAGTGTGCACTGGGGGTGGGGAGGCTCTTCACGTGGCGGGAAAGATGCAAAAAGTGCCTTTCAGGGAAAGATGTTTGGAAGAGAAGCACTTGCCTCCTTAGAAAGTACATACTCTAAAGATGTGGGAACCGGATCCCAGGAGGCAAAATTAGACACATTGCATAGATAGAGCATTAATATCACTGACTCACACAGGGAGGAAGTTGTTCCTCCTTCAGTCCTTCTGCACCTTTGTGGGTGGGCGCGAGGTGCTGGGATACCCTCTCACCTCCGGGACACCCACCCATCTCCCTTTACACAGAGAGGCCACCTTGGGCTGAGAACTGTAGGCAGATGACAGTATCCAGCCAGGATTAAAATAACATGCTTTTACTTTTGTTTTGTTTCATGCATTTTTTATTACGATTTCTCCATTTATGGCAAATACTGCTTGACTTTCCACTGATTTGGCTTCTTTGTAGGCGAATTGACCTGAAGAAAAGGTGACACTCATATGTTACCAGGGGTACAATTTATGACAAAAGTGGTGAGAGTGGGAAGTAGCAGCACAGAACTGTGTGTTTTAAATACTGTTATTACTGCATGTGCCACAATCACCATGTCATTTGGGGATTTTGTTAAAACACAGATTCTGGTTGAGCAAGTCTGGATTGGGCCTGAGAATCTGCATCTAGAATGGGTTCTTCTGGGATGCCAATGCTCTGGCAAGGAGTAGCTAGAGTGCAGATTATAAAAATGTGTTGGCTTTGATAAACATCTGGGTAAGCAGCTGCCTTCTCTCTCTCTCCCTCCCTCTTTCCCAGATTCAAATTATTGGAGGAACCAAACTTTCCCAAAAGGCAAACCTCAGTCATTTTAATTCTAATCAGATTTTCTTTAATTGCATTTTGCTTCCCAGATCACAAGCCGAGCATAATCACTTTTCCCTCCAGGGATCAGGCCAGGTCATCCCATCACATAAATCATGCCCAATTTGTGCAGATACAAGAGGTCCTCCGGGGTATCTGCCACCCCCCTGGCAGACAGCATAGACCTTTTAGGTCAAAACCTCATTTTCCCATTGCAGTGTTCAGAGCCGTGACACCAGGGCTCATGACAAGTCAGGCACACCAGAAACACGGTTTGATCAGGTTGTTAAAGAGTTTGGTCAAGCTGTGGGCACAGCGACTCATGTCTGTAAGCCGAGCACTCTGGGAGGCTGAGGCAGGAAGATTGCAAGTTTGCACCCAGCATGGGAAACTTTGTGACTTAGCAAAACTCTGCCCCAAAAGAAAAAATTTTAAAAAGGGCCGAGGATACAGCTTCATGTGAAGGCCTGGTTCAGTTCCTGGTACTGCAAAAAGGAGAGAAAGAGATGGAGGGAGAGAGAGAGAGAGGAGAGAGAGAGAAGGAAAGACCAGTTTCTCCACGTCTTCTGAATGGCTCCTTCTCTGCACAGGCTGTAGGATTTGAAATAGAAACTGCAAACAGGAGGATATAAGACAAATAGGGTGGGCAGCTGCTAGGGGGAGTAATCATTCAGCAGCCAGGGAAGGGACTGGATGATCGTTTTCTATGGCGCAGTCTCCATAAGCCACAGCCAATCACAGTGCAGCTGCTGGTAGTTACTAGCCACTAGCAGTAGTAACTAGTATTCAGTCCCCAGGCAGATCCTGCACCTGGCCTTGTTGCCCAGTCTAGCTGCATACTCACATGTCCACTGGATTTCTAAGATGCATCTTAACAGGCCCAGAGCCTGTTTCCAGAACCCTCACCCTTGGGCCTCCTCCCCGTGGAGCTGTCCCATCCCACCTGATGGCTCCAGTTTCCAGGAACTTCCTGCGAGACAGGCTTCCAGCGGGTCCAGCTTCCAGGTGCTCCTGGACAGCTCTCTGTCTCTCTCACTCACGTCTGGAGATGGAGGTGGCCCGGTAGAGCTGCATCACTTCTCACCCACTCCCACCTCTATCTCCCACCCTGGACCTTCCTCATCTATAGTCTCATTTACTTCTGAGATCGCCCCTCTCTGAGCTTTTTCAATTTTAAAGTCAACTGATTACTGGCTGGTAGTTCAGAGGACATTTGATCCTTGAGTAGCTCAACTAGATTGGCAGGAAGACCAGGTGCTCTAAATTCTTCAGAAAACCTGGAAGAGTGAGTGAGGAGAATTGGTCACGCCCACCAGAGCCTGCGGCATTGCTCACCTTGGCCATCATCACGCACCTTGGCCAGCTCCGGTGTTTGCCACTGCCCTCGGGAGAATTCCTCGGTCCCCTCTGTGGCCTGAGCACACACAGTACTCACAGTACATGCCAACCGAGTGACTGAAATCAGAGGATGTTGAACTTGGTCCACACATTTTTTGACCCTCACATTTTTCTTTTAATAGCTCTATTTATATTTGACATATGCTGCACATATTTCAAGTATTGATTTGAGAAATTTTGGCAAAAATGTCATATCACTACCTCAATCAAGGTAGTAACCATGTGTATCACCCCGGAAGTCCCTCCCGCCCTTTGGTCATCTTTGCCTCCTGCCCTTCCCCGTTCCCACACAGCACCCACCTGTTTTCTGTCCTTAGAGATGAGCTCGTGTTTTTCTAGAACGGTGTATAAACAGAGACACACTGTGTTATATGTGCTCCTTTTTTAACCTTTGGCTTTTTTCCTTTGGCATAATTTTGAGATTCGTAGTTTTTCTAAAGGCTGAGCAGTGTGAACTGCACAGACACTGTGTTGGATGGCTACAGCACATTGTAGGTATTGTAGACCATGATTTATTTTTCCATGTATACACTGATAAATATTTAGGTTGCTTCTGCTTTGGTGGTGTTACCAATGAAGCTGCTATGAACAGCTATGTACGCACATTTGTATGTACTCTGCTAGAGTTTTTAAAAATATTTTGGGAAAAAATAGAGATTTCACATAAAAATTTCACAGAGTTGGTAGCCATTCAGAACCCACAGTCTCCAGGAAAATAATGGGCCGAGGTCGAGCGCCTGCAGCTTGTGTGTTGACGAGGCTCAGGTGCCGCGGTTGCCCCCGTCCCTGCGATCTCCTGCTGTATTCCCTGCTACACATTTGCAGTGCTCCCCTTACTCTGGTAGCCCTGTGTGCACATTCTGCTTTGTGTCTCAGAGGAAATTTCGGGAACCAGATGTTGAAAGCCAGGCATGGAAAGAGTTTAAACAGACCACAGAGAAGCTGTGAATTTAAACCTTAAAGGCTTCCTTTTATGTTCAAGTTTCTTGGGGTTTTGACTATTTAGCAGAAGTTGGCATCAGCAAAACCATCCTCAGGAGGGCTGGGCAGGAAGGTGTGGCGTCTGAGGGGTGAGAGCCAGGCTGGTGATCTGAGGCCCCAAGTGCCAACTTCCAGTCCCTCTGTTTGTCCAAGGAGGTCTGGAACCCATTGTGGAGTGGGAAACGCTTTTGTGCTTTGCAAGCAGTGGATCCCTTCCAGCGCTGGGGCCTCGGCCAAGCTACTGACAGATTCTAAAACTGGCGGAACCCTGGGAAGTGGAGCCATTGGCCTGCCCCTTGCTCACCAGGCTATCCTGAGATACCAATGAGCCAGGTGAGAGTTCCTCTCTCCTCGGGTCCCTCTGACTCAAGTGAGTCCAATCCTACATCTCCCTTCCTTCCCAACACAAAGGCATCTGGCCTCAGGCTTAGAATCTTCTGGGACAGAAGAACTTCTTTCTGTCCTATTAAGAACTTCTTTCCTAATTAGGAACTTCTTTCCATTTTCTCTCCTGTTATAGAAGCCTGTAATCAAGGAAAAGGGTACTAGTCTTTTGCTTGTGGCAGTGATATAAATATTTTATTTATAACACAGAATGGGGATGAGGCTCCGTGGTGGCGCATGTGCCTAGCACGCTTGAGGCCCTGGGTTCCATCCCCAGCACCTCCCTCCCCAGTCAAAGTCATTTGTTAAAGGCTGGAGTGAGGGTTGATTTGAAGAAAAATAGGAAATGATTGCGGGACAGTGTGTGCTTTGCACACACTGAGAAATATGATACCATGATGCCCAGGACTGAAGTCTGAGACTCACCAGTGTAATGGTTACCCCTGCCTCCATGCAGAGGTGTGACTGAAAAAATACAGCAGGTGTTTAAACCTTTATAAAATCACTGCAGTAAAAGACACCCTGCCGTTCATCCCCCTCAAAATCATTCCCCTCCCTTCAAGCACACTTAGCCCATCATTCTTGCCACTTCTGAAGCAGGTCTGGAAGTCTGCTTTTGTGAGTGTCTTTAGTTGTGCTGTCGTGGCTGCCTCGATGTCCTGAATCCATCCAGGAGGTTTATCTTTTAGGGTCATTTTGACTTTGGAGAAGGAGTCAGCGGTTGCATGGTGCCAGATGGGTGAATAAGGTGGATGGGGACGCACTGTGAAGTTTTTACAAGCCTGCCTTTTTTGTCAGGTGGTGCTTTGCAACAGCATTCACTGAATTTTGATCACACGTCACAGAGACACCAACTTTAGCATGAAGACACTTGTAGCTGGCTCACTATGGACATCCTGACTGCCACATTTGAAGAAAACACACCCACACTGTTGTAGTATTTGGCCAAGGGAATAGTCACATATCCCGAGGTAGTGGCGAGCAGGTTTCAAAGGCTGTTGTAGGCAGGCACAGTTTTCATCCATGAACTGGCTTTAGAACAACCGTTTGTTTCTGGCCTCATGAGATGACGTTCCCTGTGACCTTCTCCGTGTGGGCATCTGCAATCCGTGGTGGCTGCTCACCTCAGTTCCGCCTTTCCCTCTCTAGTGGTCCAAATTTCCACAGAAGTTGAAACCTGAGTAATTTTTACTGCATGGTTCCCACTGGAGGGGACTCTGTTCCCCAGGGCAATGTGGCAATGTGGCAGTCCGGAGACATCTTTGGTTGCTACAGCCAAGTGAAGGGTACATCTGGTATCTAGTGGACAATGGCTAAGGTTGCTGTTAGACATCCTATACAGCACAGGACACCCCTGCACCAGAGGATGATTTGACCCCGCATGTCAATAGGTGCCAAGGTGAGAAATTTTTCTCTAAAGGAATTTCAGGCTGGGAGTGATGGCACTCACCTATAATCCCAGCACTTGAGGAGGCTGAGGCAGGAGGATGGCTTTAAAAAAAAAGAATTTCAGGCACCAGCAAGAAACATTTTAGGGGGCAAGGACCTCTAGAATTCTCAGATCTAGACTGAGTCCTCCCCTAAGTAGGAAGAATGTAAGGCATAGCCTAGACACAGGCCAGCTGTGAAGTGTCTGGTACAGGTAAAACCTAGCAGGCTCTTAGCTTGTTCCAATTAGAACTTGCCCCCACTGGGTCCTTATTGCTCACCTGCCCGGGACTTATCTTTCAGCCTCTTTTGTGCTCCTGAGCTTTAGCACAGGCTTATCTCCTTTAGGTCCAGCTTCCTTTCCATTTCCCTCTTCCTTGCAGAGGCACAGCTTCGGTTCTGGCTCTGTGATCTCTGTGCCTCAGTTTCCTCCTCTGTCAAATAGGAGGTTGGCAAGTAGTTGTGAGAATAAGAACACCACATTAGTCACTGAGTAGATGACAGGTGAATCTTAGCTATAAAAATGTTACTGAGCCAAGGCCCTATTTCCGACCCGGGAGACAAGCAGAATGACTGAAGATGCATGGGCTAAGTTTTGGTACCAGTAAGGCAGTGGTGGCAAACCTATGGCATGCATTTGTTTTTCTTTTAAGATAATGTATGAGTTGTTTTTTCTAAACTAAAACCTCAGTATTCAGGTTAGGTGCAGTGTTGGCACTTTGCAATAAATAAGGGGGTTTGAGTTGCAATTTGGGTAATCGGTCTCTACAAGGTTCACCATCCCTGCAGTAAGGGATCTTGGGAAAGTAACCCCTCTGAATCTGTTTCCTAACCCATATAGGAAATGATCCTACCAGCAACTTACCTTGAGAGCAAAGTTTCTGAGCCTTGGAACCTACTGACATTTGGGGTCAAGTCAAGGTGCAAGGGTGGTGCAAGGGTGTCCTGTGCTGTACAGGATGTCTAGCAGCTTCCTCAGCCACTGCCCACTAGATGCCAGCTGCACCCCTCACTCGGCTGTAGCAAAGATGTCTGCCAGTGGAAAGGAGCATGTGAGAAGGTACAGGCAAGCAGGTCTCACCTAGGTGCACGCTGGAATCATGAAGACATTTGTGTCTATCTCTAGGTTGTTTCATTTAATTGGCCAGGGTGGCCTGCAGCACAGCTTTCAAAAGTCCCCTGGATGAAGATGGGCATTCTGGAACATGCCTGAAATCCCAGCACTTGGGGGTGATTGTAAGTTTGAGCCCAGCTTGAAGGACTTAGTGAGACCCTATAAAACAAAACAAAACAAAACAAAAAAGAACTGAGGATGTAGCTTAGTGTAGAGGCTTTGGATTCAGTTCTTAGCACTTTTTTAAAAAGTTCCCCAGATGATTCCAATGGGAAGGCAAGATTGAAAACCATAGCTTCTGAGTTCTGACCAGTGGTCCTCGGGCCAACAGTATCAGTGTCGCCAGGGGATTTGTTAGAAATGCGGATGATCAGGTGCTGGACCCACTGAAGCAAACACTGCGAGTGGGGCCCAAAGGTCTGTTTTGTCAAGCCCTCCTGGTGTATAGTCTACGCGTAGACATGTGACAGATATTTGCTCATGCCCTCCTCTTCCTTCTCTTCCTGCAGCAGATACATGCTTCCAAACCCTGTGCAGTAGACTCAGCTAGGATTTGGGGATACAGTAGTGAACAAGAGAGCCAAGATCCCTGTATTCAGGGACCTCATGATCTAGCAGAGACACAAGTTCAAAAAACAGGTCCACATAAGTAAAAATTGTGAGTGTTGAGAAGACCTTTGAAGGCCTGAGATGGTGGGTGAGCATGCATCTCCCCAGGAGTGTAACAGTCCCCTCTCTAGCAGGGAACCACAACCCAGCCCCATCTTCAAACCCCTCCTGGATTTTCAGGACCCCTGACCCAGCCTGCCTCTCAACACTACTGTGTCTATCAGTCTCACGTTACCTGATGGTTACCATAACCTACCTCTCAACAGAAGTTCTCAACCCAGGCAAATGTCCTACCCAGTGACAATGTCTGGAGACACTTTGGGTTGTTGCATTGTTTGTGGGGTGGGGGGCAGTTGCTGACATAGTGGGTAGAGACTAGGGATGCTGCTGACACCCAAACGTCAAGGTGTGAGGCAGAGAAGCAGGTCTAGAACATTCATGTCCTCAGTTCCCTGCCAGGTCCCTCCGGAGTCCTCCTCTTCTCTCTCCTTGCTCCTGGGCTTGGCTGAACTTGAGAATCTTCCACCATTTGACCAGAAAGAGGATTCCAAGCTGCCTACCCACTTCCCAAGCTGGGGAGTCTGCACTGGGCCAGGCATCTCCTTGGAAACCCCTTGGCTTCGTGCAGTTTGGAAAACAATAAATTTGCAAGGTTGCACAAAGCATCCAGAAGCCCAAAACTGGTTGGAACTGCTAAATCCATTTTTCCCCTCCACATCAAAAAAATTTCCTGGCTTTAGCGGCTCTCCCTGCTGTCACAAGACAAGACGCAGGCAGATAGTTTTACATGGCAAACAACCCTGCCAAATGTAGCCCCCCTTGCAGAGCTGTCGGCTAAATTTCTGTTCCTGCCAGAAATATCCCAGTGCACTTTTCCACTGAGCTGAGGTTGATTTCATCTGAGGCAGACCTGACTGTTGCCTTTCACGCTCCATACATGGTCAGCGACCATCCCTGGTACTGGCCTCACCCTCTCCACACGCTGGGTGCTTCCAGCTGGTCTCCGACAAGGGGCCAGGGTGGAGGAGCGTGGTTGAGTCTGCCTTTCTGCTGCAAATAGGAGGAAGAAGAAAAGACTTCTGAGTTAGCCTCACTTGGTGCAGCCAGAATTCTGGGACTTTTCCTTCAGTTAATTCATCTTTCCCTCCTAAAACCCTATGAAGAAAGGTTTATTCTGAACATCACCTTACAAGTGAGGAAACTGAGGCCAAGTGACTTGCCTAATGCCCCTCATCTTACTTAGGGAGCTCAGAGCTTAAGTCTCTGTGTGAGTCTGAGACTTTCAGCCAGGAGCTGGATGTCTAGGGGTAAGAGAAGATGAACATCACAGCACAAGCAGGGAGAGTGAATTTACCTTTCTTTCTTTCTTTCTTTCTTTCTTTCTTTCTTTCTTTCTTTCTTTCTTTCTTTCTTTCTTTCTTTCTTTCTTTCCTTCTTGCACTTTTGCAGTACTGGGGATTGAACTCAGGGCTATATCCCCATCTCTTTTATTATTTTATTTTTTAGAGATAGGGTTTCACTAGTCACTACATTTCCCAGGCTGGGTTTGAACTTGTGATTCTTCTGCCTCAGCCTCCCAAAGTGCTGGGATTACAGGTGTGGGTCACCCCACTCAGACCCACCACATTTTTGTCTGAATGGGGCTCTCAGTAGATTGGATGATGCCCAGTCACACCGGACATGCCCATGTGGTTCATCAACTCAAATGCCAGTCTTTTCCAGAAACACCCTCACAGACATACCTAGAAATAAGGCTTTACCAGTCATCCGAGTCTCTGTCTGTCCGGACCAGTGGACACATACTGTAGAATTAAGCATCCCATGTGTACAATCTCATTTAGTCCTCCCAACAACCATGGGGGCAAGTTACTCTTCTGCCAGTTTCACCCTAGAAAGGGATCAATAGCCACTGAGTACAGCTTACCTGAGGCATTGAGAGCTTGGAACCCAGGCACGGTCACACAGCAAGTGAGAGCAAGGCCTGGAGCGGAAACCCACATCCGTGTGATTGTCAGAGGCCTGAGAGGGGAAATGACCTGTCCCTGGATGTGTGGCATGTGGGAGGCTGGGAGTCCCCATTCCCTGGCTCATCATATTTTGACTGGCAGGCAACCTGCTGGATGGGGGCACAGAGCTGGGGGCTGGGAAAGGGAGCGAGGCGGGTCCTGCTCACGCCACCCACTTCTAAGCTGAGTTTCTGCTCCCAGCCAGGGTGGCAGGGCAGGCTGCCACAGGCAGGGTGCCAGGACTCCTCCCATGGGGTGACCTGGGCCCGTCCCCAGCGGCCCCGCCTAGCCTCTAGGAAGAGCCAGGCTGTGCCCCACGAGTTTCTTCCCCTCCCCTCCGTACTTTTCCAGCTTTATGGGGGACAGAGATTAAATAAAGTCCTTGAGATGGAGGACCTGGGGCCCCAGGAAGCCCCTCAGAGCTCCAAGACCAGACAGAGAGAAGCCAGCTATGAGTGTGTGTGTGTGTGTGTGTGTGTGTGTGTGTGTGTGTGTACGCCTCTGGATGAGAGATCGCTATGTGTCCGGGACATTTTACAGGATGTGTTTTTGGGAGGAACACACATACCTTGGGAAGAGTCAAAAGTTCCATCATTGCAGAGTGTGGCTGTAAACATGTTTGTACCTCGTCGGTTCTGTGCCGGGGCAGTGAAGGGGTTCTCACACGTGCTTGCTGAGGTTTCCGGGAGCTTCTCTGCCCAGGCCCTCTGTCCCTAGGATGGTCAGGGAAAGCCTTCTAGGCATTTTAGCTATGGCTTGAAGCAGGTGGGGGAATGAGCCCTTTGGGCATCTGAGAGGGCATCCCAGGCAGAGGGGGCAGCCTGTGCAGAGCCTGTGCGGGGAGAGGATGCTTGATTTGGCAGGAGTGGGTGTGTAGAGTGACTACAGAGGGAGGCACACACACCTGCGTACAGCAGGCACCTTGGGTCTGAGGCCCCTGAGCTCAGGAGCAAGTGCAAACTTGCCCAGATCCTCCCACCTGAAAGCAGCCTGTGCTCCCAGCGTCCTCCCTGCCTGGACAGAGGTCTGCGTTGCTGGGCTTTGGTGAGCAACAGGCACAACTCTGAGTCTGGGGGTTAAGAGTTCCCGGTCTTCAGAGACGAGGGACATAGATTCCCCTGACTCCTAAGAAGCCTGCTCTGACGGGAGTCCCCAGTGCCTTTGTAGCTGTGCCCGCCATAGCCAACAGGTCACCCACATGCACATTTCCCAAACCGCCCCCACCTGCTCAGTCAGTGCTGGAGGTAAAATGACTCACTTTCCCTGAGCGGGGCTTCTGTGAGCCCAGACCACATTGACTTACAACACATACCCACACCTGCAGCCGTTTGCCCATCTTGCCCTGCGGCACCTTAATTTTTTTCTGTATCTCCTGATCCTGGTCCCTCACTGACTTTCAAACCACACAAGGAGGTTCTGAGAAGTCCTGATGCCCACGCTGCAGCCCAAACCCACGAAACCAGAGCCGCTATGGTGTGAGGTCAGGAAGCAGGATTTTAAAAACTCTCCGGTGAATTCCGGTGTGCCACCAAGTTTGGGAATCATTGATCTTTACTATGAGGTCATATTTTTTTTTTAAATTGCCCCCCTCCCCAAGAAAACAAACTAAATTATTTTAAAAGGAAATGTGAAATCTCTGAGGGCTGCAGGGAATTTCTGCTTTCTGATCTCTGGGCGGTGGGGGGCTCCCCCTTGGCCCAGGGTCGTGGCACACACTGCCTGTGCAAAGCCAGTCGACCCTGCTTGGTCCGCCCTCCTTTCTCTCCTTGCTGTGGTTCCCCCTCTTCTCATACCGTGCTCATTTCCATTGCGGATATGGATCTCTTGATTTAAATGTGCCCTTACAGACGCATATGGTGTTTTATGTGCATGGATTTTTAATGTTCTCTGCAGGGATTGCGTCATTTTGTGCCTTCTGCCTTCTGCTTCCTCACTTGACACCACTGACATACCCAGCCCTGTGCCTATGCACGTTTGGTCCTTCAGACTGAACACTGCAAGGTCACTTAGCACCTTGTCTGGCTGCTTGGTTCATGGGCACTTGGTGGCTGCCAGCCAACCACCCCTGCAAGTGATACTGCATTGATCATCCTTGAATCCGTGTCCCCTGGTAGTCCACTGGAATAATTTCTACAGTGTACACCCAGAAGGGGACTCCCTGGGACACACAGGTCCCTGAATTGGTCGTGGCACACTGGCTTGCTCTGCAGATAGGCCTCATCCATGTCCATTCCCTCCCACTCGGGACAGGGGTCCTCTGGCTTCCTCCTCAGCAGGAAGGTCCAGGCTGCTCTGCCTCCTGCTGCTGCCTCTGGCCAGCCCATACTCGCTCTGCCTCCCAGCCCTTGGGAGGAATTGTGTTCCTCAATTTCAGCAGGTCAAGTCACTCCAGGTGCACGGGTCTGCAGGAGTTGGGTGGGCAGTGGGTGCTATCCTTAGTGTGTGGGGGGCTTTCTCTCCCCTCTAATGGAGATGACCCTAGCTGTGAGCAACGGGGTGTGGACAAGAAGTTGTAGGGGACACTTTTTGGCAGTATGCACACCCAGCTGGACCTGGGCAGTTTGGCTTTGTGTGTGTGTCTGTAGTCGGTTCTAGAGCAGCCAGTTCTGGAAAACCCCAGGGTTTTGGAAAACCCACAGGTAAGCTAAAAAGCATAGCAGTGAGGGGACAAGATGTAGAGATACAGCCTTGGCATGAGCAGGAGCGGAGAGGAAACAAGCGTGTGGCCCGTGTCTCTCAGCACCCCCATTGCCGCGCATCACTGTCCACGTTGCTCCCCAGCTCTACCTCGGTCCCCACATCTGTTGTTTTTATACCTGGGAACGCACAGCAGGATACGGGTTTCCCAAATTCAGTCATCTGGGCCATCTTCCTAATGGTGTCATATCCATGTGCTGCGTGGACTTTTATTTATGATGCATTTGTTTTAAGTGGAATTGCCTAAACACTTTTAAAAATACATTCATTTAGGAGAGGCATTTATGTCCCTCTGTTAAATGGAAAACCAGTAGAACTGCCGCAAGTACAGAGCGGCTAGCAGGTGCATATAACGGCAGCAGGGTAGAATATTAAATTATACTTGGACCCAGGTATGGTGGTACATGCCTGGAATCCTAGCTACTCAGGAGAGTGAGGCAGAAGGATCACGTGTTTGAGGCCAGCCTGGGCAACTTAGTGAGACCCTGTCTCAAAACATGTCACTGGTGCCTGTTGCTTGTGGAAGCCTCTGGATTCCACAGCTGCTCTTGATCCTCCAGGGAGATGACCGGGGGCTGCAGAGGGACAGAGTCAGGTGGGCTGCACGTGGAGGCTCATGCCCAGATGTGGCCAGCAGGTTGAAGAGGGATTGAGGAGGAGGTAATGGGCTTAATCCTTTCTCTGAGATCAGGGAGTGTTGCTAGAACCTTTCACATAAGGCTGGCTTGCTCCTGTGACGATCTGGACCAGGAGAGAATCTGTGTCCCTCTACAGCCCTTGCATGGGAGTTCCAGAAGCAAAGTGGGACCCCCTTGGTGGCTGTGTCCCCACCCATGCACTGCACTCCAAAGGTGCTTCATGAATGTTCAGAGCAGGAGTTGGGAGGACCGGGCCCCTGTGCATGCTGAGAGAGCATCTGCCCGCTCCTGTCGAATGCTGGGAGGTGTCAGCCGTGTGCTGCGTGGAGGAGCGCCTGAAAGAGTGCAAATCCACTGAGTGTGCCGCCACCAGGACAGAGCTTTCCTCCGCCCGTACCCTGCTGCACCTCTACCTGGAACAGTCCGAGTAGGCACCCCTGAACATGTGTGGTCAAGGTGTAAATCAACGAAGCAGCGACTGAGCAGGCGAACGAGTCTCCCCCTCCCTCAGATCCAGGCTTTCTATGAAACCTCAGGCCAACCCCTGAGCAGGGGCACAGGGAGTGCAGAACAGAGCAAGGAAAGGGATGAGGTGGCCTCAGGTCACTGGTTTCAGGGGCATCTTCGAGGGTCCCTTGAAACAGCCCCGAGGAACCTCTGTGGATGGGCTCAGCTGGAACAGGGCTGGCAGGTGCCACCCACAGCTTCTTCGCATCAGCCACCCTCAGTGATGTGCCCCCACCCCCCATCACAGGCTCCCTGATAGCAGGGGGAGGGGTTGGTTCCACGCCCAGCCAAGCACTGGAAAGCATTTATCATCTCTAGAAAGTTTTATTTTCTTCTATGCCAGGCTGAGGTGCAGCCTAGGGAGGTTTGACATCCCCCACTGGTCTCCCACCCAAAGGGCAGGATTTTGAGGCCAGTCCCCAGTGCTCCTAAGGGAGGTGAGGTGTCCCCCACTTCCGTATTTACATGCCGCTCACTACCCTTCATGGGTAATGTTTAACCAGCATGCAGTGGGAGTCACTCTGTTTCTCGAGGCTCCCGGGGACCAGGGTAGGGATTCATCTCCCTCCTCAGTGGCCTGCGAAGGGCTCTGAGGTCCCCTTCTACTCCCTAGTTCATTGTCTTGAAGTAGCAATGTGCCGTCTTTCCAGGCTGTTGTCTTGAGCTGATAGGGAACCCAGGAATGAGGTATTTTTAAAAATTGTCTTTTAAGCAATTTCTAGATACCTGTAGGGTATGGGCCCAACCTCACTGAAACAGTTATCCCCATATCTGTTATGATTTGTGAATATTTTATAGTGTATAAAAAGGGGAAAACAACATAGTTGTAAAATCCTTAAAAGCAGGAATTGGGTGTCACTTGTGGCCCCTCATCCCATTGACAAGCACTGACATGGTTATGTGTGTGCAAGTTTTACCCTATATTGAAACCTCAGATAGATGGGATCATGTCATTTTAAGGGTAGATTGTTACCAAACTTTAACATGCATAGGTATCATTGGAGAACTGGTTAAAAATCTAGACTTCCAGATCTCACTGTGATTCATACATTCTGTTAATGTTTATTGAGCTACTACTATCTGTAGGGCTGCCAGACTTAGCAAATAAAAAAAAAATATATATATATATAAGATACCCAGTTAAACCTGAAAGATCAGCAAGAAATAATTTTTGAGTGTCAATATGTCTCACAACAGCTGAGACATGTCTTAGTTGTCCAGGCTGTTACACCGTAGCAGAGTACCATAGACCAGGTGGCATAAAAGAGTGAAAGATTATTTCTCACAGTTTTGGATACTGGGAACGCACTGTGGCTGGGCTCAGGTGGGAGCTCTCTTCTGGGGGGCTGAGTACTGACCTTACTGGTGGAAAGAGGAAAAAGGGGCTCTTTGGCTTCTTCTCAAAAGAGCATTAGACCTGCCAAATGCCCCCCACTGTGCCAGTTCATTGAGATTAGGATTCCAATATGTGACCTTTGGAGCACCCAAGCATTTAGTCAGTCCACTGCAGACAGGACACTAACGTACACCTTGTTGTTTATCTGAAATTCACTCATCAATCTTACCTCATTCCCTTTTATAGCTTGTCTTCCACCCTCCCCCGCCGCCCCATGGTTGTGATGGAATTTTCCAAATGGGGTTTTACTAGTAGTTTCTTTGAATGACACTCCCCACTCGTACTACTGACAGAGCAGACACAGTAAGACATACACTGGCTGTCACCTTGTTTCAAGGTGCTGGGCAAGCGAAGCGAATGCTCTCTCACGGAACAGCAGGTTGAGCCCAAGCAGTGGCCCTACTGAGGCGGTATTGGTGGCACAGGTGGGTGGCCTCATTCATGGTATTGCAGCTGGGGGCAAGTGAAACTGAGCTCTTCGCGGTGATGGGCAGTGCCAGCACATCCTTCTGGGTACTGGAGCCGTTGTGACAGGATGTCAATTCCATGCTTGGGTCCCACTGGTGAGTTTCGACACAACCCCTGCCCCCAAGAAAGAGCCGTCTTACAGCAGAGGGACACCATGAGCAACAGTTACTCACAGACCCAGGGCTGCTGGGCAACAGTAGGGTGGACCATGCATATGCCTGTCACCGTGAGGCACCATTGGCTTAGTGCCTTGGGCTCAGTCCTGGGCAGGCTCTCGTGAGCCCGTGCAAGGTCAGCACCTTCCGGTAGTGACCCAGCCTGGTGCGCCCCTTCTTTCTTCCTTCTCTCATTCTTTTGTTTTTTTGTTATGCACATTTTCAAACATGCAGAAGTACAGAGGATCACATAAAGATTCCTAGGGGCCCAGCACAAACGTCAGGCTTTGCTGATCTTTTTTGGTGACCCATCATTTTCTGATTTTCATTTTATTTTCTACTGACGCATGACAGTCTCACAATAGAGCGCATAGCCTGATGGATTTTAGTGGTGAGTTTTCCCTGCATTCACACCTCTGAAACCTGCATTCAGAGAACATTTCCCTCCCTGAGAGGCTCCTTCCTACCCCTGCCTCTGATCTGCACTTCTGTCACTTGTAAGGCACCATGGTGGCATTGTAGTGGGGAAAAATATGGCTACAGATAAGTAGAAAAAATTCAAAATTCTCTCTCTCTTTCTTTATCTACGGACCTAGTAATTGGGAAAGTAAATTCTAGATTGTAAAAAGGTGTAGAACAACTCACATTAATTTAGCTGAGAAAGGCTTTAGAGATTGGCTATTGTTTTTGATTTGGATTATTTGTATTAACCTTTTCTCTTGCGGGGGATATTAGGAATCAAACCCAGGGTCTTCCACATGCTAGACAAGCACTCTACCACTGAGCTACACCCTAGCCCTGCAGGTTATGTTTATTCACCTTTGGCACGCTCTCTCCTCCCTCCCGCTGAGCACTGGCCAACTCCAGTGCCTACTGAGGTTCCAAACAAAGCCAGCCCTAGCACATACCCATCCCCAGCATGCACAGTGCCCTGGTGACCAGAGATGCCTGAAACGGCATCTCAGGTTTGCCCTAGTTAGTGCAGGATCAGTGTTCAAGGCTGGGAACGAGTCATTCATGCACTTGACCGGAGGCTGCCTGGGTTGCCCTCGGCCCCCTCCACACCCAAGTGTCAGGTGGGCAGGGAGTCCTGGGGTGCTGACAGCCTCACCATTTCCACAGACGCTGCAAGAGATCTTCCAGACGGAGAACACCATCATGCTGCTGGAGAGGTCCATCATGGCCAAGGAGTGCCCGCTGAAGGTGGCCCAGACACGGCTGGAGTGCCGGACCTGGCGCCCCAATGTGGAGCTTTGCAGGGACATCCCGCAGTTCAAGTGAGTGTGGGGGGACCCCGTGTGTGTCATGAAGGGCAGGGGTGGGCCTCGGAACCTAGAACCCTGGGCCTGAACTACAGAGCCTCCATTCATGAGACCATCCACGCTTACAACTCAGCAGCGTGCTGCGCGGGGCTGGAGTTGTGAGCCCAGCCCCAGCTGCCTCCACAGCTCTCTGCCCCAGCAGGTTGGCCCCTGGCAGCACATCTCACCAAGGGATGCTTCTGTATCTGTGCTCAGGAAAGCTTCCTGCTGTCCCTTGAAAGCCAAAGAGATGCCAGGTGTGGTGATACATACCTGTAATCCCAGCTACTTGGGAAGCTGAGGCAGGAGGATAGCAAGTTCATTAGCCTCCCAGGCAGGGACATGGCGTGGACCGTGGTTGCTTGATCATCTCTCTCTAAGCTCCCGAGGAAGAAGTGCTGGCCCTTGCCTCTCTTGTTTCCCTGCCTCCCTCTTTGTTCTCACGATGAGGCCCTAGGACAGCTGAACCCTCCCTTGCCAGCTGGACGCCTCCATCACACTTAGCTTAGGGGCTGCATCTGTTAGCAACGGGGGCAGCTGGGAAGCTCGCACTGGCTCAGGAAGGGGTCTTGGAGCACGGGGCAGGGGCTCTAGGCCTGTCTCTGTCCCTGGCTTCCTTGGCTTGTAGGGTTTCTCTCCAGGGTTGGCCTCCACTTTGACCTGGTCTACTTCCCTGTGTGTCTCCATGTCCTGAGCCTCCCTAGTCTTTCTCTTATAAGGAGATCTGCCGTTGGACTTAGGGTCCACAGTAAATCCAGAATGAGCTCATCTTAAGGTCCTTCATGATATCTACAAACACCAGATTTCCAAGTAACACCACAGCCACAGGCTCCGAGAGTTAGGACCTGGACACACCTTTCCGAGGGATACTGTGCAGCTCCTGTCCCTGGCCATCATGGCAAGCCCTGACGCTCTCTGGCTTGCCCTTTGCAGTTGAGTCTTTACCCAGTGGCCTCCAGATCTTCCCGTTTCATCTTCTCCTTCCATGACTCCTTGGGGCAATGGGAACAAAACCTAAGTCCCTTACTTTTGCATGTGCTCTTCTCTTTAGAAACCACTGCCCTTCCCAGAACCTGGGAGGCTGAAGCAGGAGGATCACAAGCTCAGATCCCACCTGGGCACTCCTCTCTTTGCTCTTTGCTCCAAAGTCCCCTCCTCAGAGAAGCCTTTCTAGTGCCTTTGGAAAGTTGCCCAGCGGCAGACTGGAGACTGAGGCAGCCTGGCCCCAAGCCTGAGTTGACCCTAGAGTTGTTCCAACCAAGGGGGCAGCCTTTGGTATCTGAGTCAGTCAGCCATTGGCCATAGCACTCTGGTTGGTCAAGAGCCATTATTCCCGGAGCTGTGGGCCTTAAGCAGTGATCCATAAGCAGCCAGCACTCACAGTGCTGGTAATGGAGTCAGCAAAGGAGACTGAGCAAGACTTGGAGAGTCACCAGTGCCTCCAACCTTCATATCAAAATGAGGCTGGCCCTGCTTATCATCTGCAAAAACCCTATTTCCAGATAGCCAAAACCCTATTTAAAATACACATAACAAAAAATCCCTTTGTGCTGCGGCTGAGTACTTCATAGTATACATATGCCACCACGCTTTATTCATCCGTTCATCTCTCCGAGGAAATTGGAGTTGCTTCCCCCTGTGAGGCCTGTGAAGCATGCTGCTATGAACATTTGTGCATCTGTTGGTGTGAACAACTGTTCTAAGTTCTGCTGGGTATAGATCCAGGAGCAGAACCACCTACCAGTGATGGTGAACCTATGGCATGCACGCCGCAGCAGGCTGTGGGTTATCATTGAGAGCTCTAAAAGTCTTGCTATCACTCAGGTGTTTTGTTACAGCCATGGCAAACTGACTAGTACACTCCCATCCTGTTCCTTCTTTTTACCTGTCACCCTGGTGACTCCCAAACAGTTGAGCCCAGCATCCCTTACAGGCCTGGGCCTTGTTGATTGCTCAGTATACTCTGGCACTGCCAGGCACAGTTCCCCTGCGCAGTGAGTGTGTCTTTGCTGAGTGACTGAATAAACCATATCTTGTCCTCTGCCCACTCCACAGGCTCGTGAATGAGGTGTTCACCATCGATGACACTCTGCAGACCCTGAAGCTGAGGCTGCGGGAGGCACAGGACACACTGCAGCTGCTGGTGATGACCAAGTCACGGCTGGAGCACGAGTTGGCCATCAAGGCCAACACCCTGTGCATTGACAAGGAGAAGTGCATGGCCATGCGCAAGACCTTCCCCAGCACCCCTCGCCTGGTCGGCTACACCTGTGCTGCCCCCTGCGTGGGCCCTTGCACCCCCTGCCCTGCCCCGGTTTGCTAAACTACATAAGGTTTGAACAGGCCAGAAAACAAAAGAATCATTTTCTCCCTATCATGAAAATATATATAACAGGCAAAATAAATGTGCCCAAATCAAAGCTCCTAGAGCTCATCCTTGCTGCAGATACTTCGTGGGAGGCAGATTTTGATCTCTGGAGGGTGGAGCCTAGACCTTGTGAGGCTTGGAACTTTTCCAGGAATAGAAGAGACAGCCCTTTCTTCATTTCTTCCTTCCTTCTTTCCTTCCTCCCTCCCTCCCTCCCTTCCTTCCTTCCTTCCTTCCTTCCTTCCTTTCCTCCCTGTCTTCCTTCCTTCCTCCCTCCCTCTTTCCCTCCCTCCTCTCCTTCCTCCCTCCCCTCCCCTTATCTGTCCATTTAGGAGTACAGAGATTGTTGGATCTCAGAATCAAGGCTCATGCTGAGCGGCCTTGAAAAAACTCTTAACCTGGGTGTGTCATCTATGAAATGCAGTTGGTCTGAGGTGGAGGTGATTGCCATCACTATGGGACAGTGCCAAAAAATAGCATTTGGAGTCAGAAGTCCTGAGTTTGAATTCCTGTGTTGGTAGATAAGGTGTTTTGTAAATTGCTATGGAGAAAAAGGGGGCAAAACCAATTGTTTGGGCCAGTGAGAGTTGGGGGAAGCTCTAAGAAGACGTGAAATGTCTCAGACAGACACAAAAGTACCCTGTGATCTAGCAGCTCATCTCCTAGGTACATAGCCAAGAGGACGGAAAGGGGTATAGGCTCCTGCACGTGGATGTAATTATTGTCCCAAGGTGGAAACCACCCAAATGTCCATCAGTGGATGAATGGGAAAAAATGCAGTCAATGTATGCCCTGGAATATTAGTGGACCATAAGAAGAGAGAGGCTGGAGGCTGTGTCTGGGGATATAGAAAGGGATACAAGAGGGACGTGGTGCTGAGCTGGCAGAGGACCAAGGGAGGGGCTGAGAATGCATAGAAGGGCAAACAGAACCTGGAAGAAGCAATGTTGAGGGCATAGGGAAAGTTGCAAGAGAGGCTATCCAAAACATCCAGAACCTGGAAAGGTAAGTTGAATAAAGAAGAAAGTCCTTAGGAGATAGGCATCCCAAATAAACCATTTTCTGAGTACCATGGAGCTCACTTTGGGAACGTGAATTGACAATATACATATAAATGTCGTTTTTGGGTATGTCGTACTGGGGGTGGGCCCCAGGGCCTTCACACTGAGCTATATCCCTAGACCTGTCTTGATTTTTTATTTTGAGACAGGGTCTCACTAAGTTGCCCTGAGGCTTTGTCCTTAGAAAACAGCCCCAAACGCAGACTCAGATGTATCTGTTAGAGTTTTAATTTAACAGGAAGCCACTGTACGTTATGTCTAACAGCAACATAATCAAGCGGTGGACGATCAAGTAGTTAAAAAATGATGTTTCTGAATGTTTGAATGCTGAAGAAGCATTCTCAGCAGGCTAGAAAGAGAGGGTAGGAAATGGTGATTAAAATCTGTTTCCAATTGTGTCAAAACTGCCCAGGAAGCAAGGTTGCATTGAAATCTACCAGAATGTTAACAGAGTGAATGGTAAGCATCTGCTGGATTCTCATGTGTGAATTTTACATACTTTATGCAATGAACGTTTGTTCCTTTTTTGATCAAGAAGATATGCTTTTCTTAAGCTTTTTACTTTACAATAGTTTTAGATTTGTGGAAAAGTTGCAAAGACAACACATAGAGTTCCCTTAGACCTTTACACAGTTTCCTCGGATGTTAACATCTCATGTAGCCATTAGTTATGGAGCATTTGTCAAAACTAAGAAATTAATATGATACATTGATATCAACTGCACTCTAGAGCTTATTTAAATTTCACCAGTTTTTCCATCAGTGTCCTTTTTCTGTTCTGGGATCCAGTCCAGGCCAACATACTGCACTGAGACCTTGGGTGTCCCCGGTCTTCTCTGCTCTGATGAGTTCCTAGTTTTTCTTTGCTTTTGGTGACCTTGACTATTTTCAAGAGTACTGGTCTGTTATTTGAAGAATGCTCCTTAATTTTGGCTGATGTTTTCTCATGCTTTCATGGTGTGATAGTTAACTGTATTGCCCACTTGAGTAAGAAAAGCCTAGCTGATTGGTTTAGCACAGTTCTGGGTGTATCAGGATAATGGATTTACTGAAAAGGGAAGACCCAACCTGGGTGTGAGTGGCACCAACCAATAGGCTTGTATCTTGGATGGAATAAAAAGGAAAGAAGGAAGTCTGGCTTCTGCTTCAAGGGAAGGAGCTCCAGTCTTCACCATCGCCTTTGGACGTCCATCTCTAGGCATCTAGCACAGACTCTTCGGCCTTCCAGCACAGAGCCTTGGGCTTCCAAATATGGATTCATATGGGACCCTGCAGTGAGCTCCCAGTCTTTGACCTTAGAGTGGATCCTGGGTTCTCCAGTACACAGGTGGCCCTTTTGTGTTTTTCCACATCTAACTTGGCCAGGGGCATGTAAGCCTACCTTGTAAATCCTTTGTATGTCCTATATTTCATACTCAATCTGTTCCTCTAGAGAACCCTAACTGATACTGATTTTGGTACCAGAGAAGTGAGGTCATTGCTGTGACTACCTGATTACATGGTTCAGAAGTCTGGAAAGATTTGGAGATGTCAGCTGAAGAAGCAGTCCTACAATGCTATGAGCCAAGTTTGGTGGGTGATTCTGGTCAAAGCTCAGAAGATCAGAATGATAATAAATGCAACCAGTAAAGACCAAGCTCAGGAGGTTTCAGCTGGGGACAAGAACTGCATTGGCAGTTGGACTCCAGGCCATGTGTGTTATGTTGTGGCAGGAAATTTGTCTAGACTGAGATTAAGAACAGTGCACTAATTATCTGGTGGAAGAAACATCAAGGCAGTCTAACTTTTAGGCATTGGTGTGACTACTGCTGGGGGCTTTTAGCCAGCTATACCTTGAGAATCAATAGCAAGTGGTACAGCTGAATGTTTTAAAAAGTTTTTAGTTTCACAGAAAAGAAGCTCCTTTAAAATTGGATCGAAGAAAGATTGGTCGCAAGTACTTTACAACAGGAATATAAGAAAAATGCCTTGAGGAAATGTGAGGAACCGGTAAGGCCCCACCCTTTGCAGGTTTAAAATTAAAAAAAAACTGGAAGACTTTACTTTCTGACGAGAGCCCTAGGGCACCATGCTCCAGAATGGTGGCTGCCTAGGGAACTTGTTCCTCAGGATTCTGTTCATAGTGCTCAGCCATCCTGGCTCTCAGAGACCCCTACATCTGTGGCATAAAGAAACCTGGCTACTGCTCCAGCTGGCAGCAGACCCTGTCATCATCCACATAGTGTTGGGTGTAGGTGCATACAGAATGCAAGAGTTGTGGGGTCAGAAAGGCTTATACCCAGATTTCAGAAGAAGGCCTGGAAAGCCAAGCAGTGTGCCCCTAAGAGGGCAGTGTGTGAAGCTGGTTCTTTTCTATAGCAGAGTATATTTAGAAACCAGTCTGAGCTGCATGTAGTGGCACACACCTGTCATTCTAGCATGTGGGAGGGTGAGCCAGGAGGATAAAAATTTAAATCCAGCCTGGACAACTTAGCAAGACCTTGTCTCAAAATTTTAAAATAAAAAGAGCTTGGGAGGTAGCTCAGTATGAAGGCCTCAGTACTACAAAGTAACAAAATCAAAAAATCAAAAATAATCAAAACAAAAACATGATCTGAGTGCTGGATGTGCTTGTTCATGAGAACTTTTAAGACAGGTGCATAAGAGGCTTAGAGTGAGCTTGGGAGCAGACCAAGTGGAGGAAAGCTGGCTCCCTGGGATTGCAGTTACCTCTGTACTCTCAGTTCTGGCACACAGTAGTGTCCAGTGACTATTTTATTGAGTGATTAGCAAATGGCTAAGCTGGTGCATACAAAGGTCTGGTGTTCCCTCTTGGACTGATGGCTGCTTTCTGAGTTGTAGGAGACAGAGTGTGATTACACTTGGGCATGGGAAAAGTGAGTCTCTCAACCCTTTGTGCTCTCTCCAGCTGAGGGGCCAAGTGATGTGTGACCTCACCATGGCTCTCAGAAGCTGAGGGGCTGGGCATAGCTCTGTGAGATGTCTCTACAACCAAGGCAGGATATCTTAGCATGATCCCAAGAGCTGATTCCCTGCCAGGGGCAGACACTGAGTAGAGACAGAGGAGGATTTCCCAGCCAAGCACTTTCTTTCCCTGATGGCTCAGAGGGATGTAATCCAGCTGGCTCTGGAGAAGGCATCACTCCCTGAGGAGGGAGAGTGTGTGTGTGTGTGTGTGTGTGTGTGTGTGTGTGTGTGTGTTCATGCATGTTTACAGCCTTCTGTTCCCATGGCCTGACCAACTATTTAAGAATTTTTCTTAACACCAGGGCTGGTGCTAAAGATTCAGAAGCTTTGGAGAGAAAAATGAGAAAGAGAGTGAGTCTGAGATGTGGGGACTGATAAAGCTGATGGGCATAGATCCAATCCTCAGTCAAAGTTTCCCCCTGAACTCAGGAACAAGACAAGGAGTCAGTTGTCACCACTCCTGTTCAACATGGTCTTGAAATATTAAACAGCAATTAAACAAGAAAAAGAAATAAAAAGGATACATATGGGAGAGAAAGAAATCAAATTTTCATTATTTGCAGATGACATGATCCTCTGCCTAGGAAATCCCAAAACTCCACAGAGAGACTTTTAAAATAATAACCAAATTTAGTAAAGTAGCAGGATACAAAATACACTAATAATGAACCCACTAATAATAAAAAAACATTAGGAAAAAATACCATTCACAGTAATATTAAGAAAAATTACATACTTAAGAGTTAATCTAACAGGGGGCTGGGGATTTAGCCCAGTGGCACAGCACCTGCCTGGCAAGTGCAAGATTGTGAGTTCAACTCCTACTACTGGGAAAAAAAAAAAAAGAATTAATCTAACAAAGGAAATGAAAGACCTCTACAATGAAAACTACAGCATTGTGATAGAGGAAATAAAAAAAAAATCAGAAAATGGAAAGATATTCTCTTTTCCTGGATAAGCAGAACCAATATAGTCAAAATGGCCACACTTCCAGAATTGACACACAGATTTCACACAGACCCAA